CCCGCGTTGCTAAGCAACCGAAACAGCTGATGCGTACTCTTATCGCCCGCGTACTCTTACCCGCCCTTACCCTACGAGTATAACAGTGAAACACAGAACTGGGAGGACTTTATTATAGGAACATCTAACTAACTGGTCGCCGTCCTAAATATATCACCTCGCCGCTTTTTGAAATCGAAAATAATATGATAGATTCCTCCCCTCCCCCTTATTCCCCACATGTCATCAGTCGCTCGCTATTTATATAGAGCGAGAGGCGGCACACGTGTCGCCACCCGGGTCACGTTGCACCACCGACCCCCGCCAGGCCCGGGTCGGCCGGGTGGGTCGCAGGCCACTGATTCCACGATAGATCGACCAAGGCCTAACACCCGACCATTTTTGATTTTGATGAAATCTTGTCTATAGGGTTCTCTTATGCCCTGAAGTCAATGGTGACAACGCCAGGCCCCTACGGTCAGCGATTTAGGAGATATAGCCCCGGGCATTTTGACGAGGTCACTCTGCAGAGTGATTTTTGAGGTGCTATATCTCCTAAAGTAATGAAGGAAATGCATTAAACCTTTGCATCGTTGTGATCGTGGTGAAATGGGCAATTAATTGGCCATCTCGGATTTTCAAAAAAATGATTTTGATTTTTAGCTGTGACGTCATCAATTTTTAAACTTTCTGGCTACTCCCCTAGTACATTAAAATTTGCCATTATTTTTGCTCAGAAATAAAGTTCCGTCAATTTCCTTTCGACTGGGAAAAAAACAAAAATGGTAATCTTTCTACAAATATTTTATTTTATTTTTTGAAAATCGCACTACAAACTCTGATTTACAGAATCGGGTTATTAACCCTCGCCCATGTAGGGGGGGGGGGTTGGTGCAACCCCCCCCCCTGAGGTTTTTCGGAAATAGTGCAAAAACGGCGGCGCGCAGCGCCGCCAAATTTTGGGTACCTTATGGGGCAAACCTTGCGCATCTTTTGATAAAAAAAATTTGACCGGGTCATGTCAGGTCACGGAGTTATGACGTCACAAAGGGAACAGCCTCCGGCCGGATTTTCACAAACTGAGTGCCAACGCCCGAGGTTTCCTGCCGGTGGTACGGACATCGGTTGATGGATCGTGATGAAACTTCCCATGCATGTTGGGGCAAGTATTGGCTATCATATGGTATAAGAAACTTGACCGGGTCAGGTCAGGTCACGGAGCTATGACGTCACAAGAGGAACAGCGTCCGGTACTATTTTTGAAAAGCGCCCGAACCACTATTTTGCTAATTCTTGTCACCTCAATGGGAATATGCAGCAATATTAGCTTCTATAGGGAGCAAATGGACATCCCAAATCCAAAAATACAATCAGATTTCAAAAATTTAAATTTTGATTTTTCGAATTTCTGCCGCCGACTGTGACCTTGCCGACTTCCGGCGCTCCCAACGCGCCATTTTTAGAGCTAGGGAAACGAAATACATACCAAACGATAGAGAATTGATCAAGAAACACGATAGTGAAAGTTTCAAGTCGCTATCTCCCACCGTTTTGCCGCAATCGCCGCGGAAAATTTGAAAAAGTCTATTTTTCCGAAAATTTGACCTTTGACCGGTCAAAAGTAGGTCAAATGTTGACCTAGGACCAAAAAATATACCACCAATCGCGAGATCTCGGCGAGAGCAATCCGTTGGTCTTTTCCGCTAAGCTCTACGACGCTCCGTTTTCAAACGCCAAGGGGGGGTCGCACCAACCCCCCCCTGCATGGGCGAAGGTGGCAGATCGCCGTTTACGGGCGAGGGTTAAGCAATATAAGACACATCTGCGAGGACCAGTTACTTCCAAAAAGAGGTTATCTGGGTTTCGGCATATAATATTCTTCTCTTTAACTTCACTTTTGATAACAAAAAAAAAAGAACTTTAATATTACTTGCACAGGAGTCAATATAATGGCAAAATTATACATACTTTTGAGCTGCCACAGCTGCCTTGTTTATCAACGTAGCTCAAATAAGTAAAAAGTGTGTTTGTGTGGCCGTGATCTCGTTCATTCATTGGTGCTTTGCCGTCTGTTATTGCAACTGCAATAGAAATGCACTCCGTTGTTTATGGCTTTTATTGCATCCAGCGTTGAAAATGATGATTCGCTGATGAAATACCTAGTCACATTACACCACCTTTTGCCTTCCTGAAACTACCAATTATTTTGTTCGTTTATAATTAGTCGGTTCGTAAATATGCTTTGCAAATCGACTGTCGGTTGGTCATTTGAGCTACGTTGATAAACAAGGCAGCTGTGGCAGCTCAAAAGTATGTATAATTTTGCCATTATATTGACTCCTGTGCAAGTAATATTAAAGTTCTTTTTTTTTGTTATCAAAAGTGAAGTTAACCCGCGCCGGGCCGGTGCTCTGAGATTCCGCGCCGGGCCGGGGGGGTGTCTGAACACCCCCCCCCCCTTCTAACTCGGCTCCTGGGCCACGTACCGACACGCGGTAAGCGGCAATCGAAAGAACGTCCAAAATAAGGACGAAAACACTTCGGTCATTTTTTGGGTCAGGTCAAAGGTCAGGTCACCAGAGGTCACCAAAGGTCAAATGTCCGGTATTTCAACATTTTGGAAACTGCCAACGGCTATCTCGGGAACCGATAGAGCTACAGCGCCGCGGAAAAGCGCATTCGATAGCCCTTTTACAGACCTTTCTGAGCAATGTTCTAAGATTTGACCTCAGGTCAACGGTTTAGCCTCCAGGGGGCAAAAACTCCAAAAATAGCCGTTTTTACGAAAAACGTTTTTTTTTTCGGCAATAACTTTTGACTCAAAAGAGTCATGACATTACTTTTACCACCATCGTGTTCCTCTCGTCGAGACGCGTCGAATGAACTATAATTTGACCTTGAAAGGTCAACTTGAAAATTTGACCTCAGGTCAAGGTCATGACCTGACCGGAAAAGGTCATGTTGCATATCAGTCGATCCGCAACGTCGAGCCGAACACATCTAAGGCGTTTTCAGCGCTCTAGCACGTCTCTATCAGAAGTTATTAGCGAAAAACTGTTAGATTCTGTTCGTGACCTGAGATGACCTCCGGGACATAACGAGGGGTCAGAGTTGCCATTTTCCGGTTCAGTGTGTCCATTTTACCTACATCTCGATGTTTGAGAGTGTCTAGAATAACGTTCGTGCAAAACAGACGCTTTTCAATTTTCTCCCATTGACTTATAATGGAGAGGTCGCAAAATTGACCTGACCTTAGGTCACCGATATCAAAATTCCGATATACATTTTATAGATATTGTTGCTCTAATCAATCGCTGAAAGTTTCAAGGCAATCGATCAATCGGTGTAGCTATGACGAGCATTCTTATTTTTTCTGAGGTGAGGTCACTTGGCGTGACCTGGTGACCTGACCTAAGGTGACCTGGGTCTGAAATTTTCACATGTGCGGAAAAGGTTCACAAACAGGTGTGCCAAAAACGGGAGCGCCGCCGTTTTTGAGATATCTGCGAAAAACCGCAGGGGGGTGTTCAAACACCCCCCCCCGGCCCGGCGCGGGTTAAAGAGAAGAATATTATATGCCACGGGTGGAGAATTGTGCTGGACTGGGGGTGCTCGAGCTCTCCCAATTCCACGCCGGCCACGCCGGCTTGGCTTTGGAGCCGCGGCCGGGCGGCGCGGGTCAAGGTCACCGCTAGGCGGCGGCGGATTTGCTGCGCCCGAGCACCCCCAGCTGGTCACAATTCTCCACCTATGTTATATGCCGAAACCCAGATAACCTCTTTTTGGAAGTAACTGGTCCTCGCAGATGTGTCTTATATTGCTTAATAACCCGATTCTGTAAATCAGAGTTTGTAGTGCGATTTTCAAAAAATAAAATAAAATATTTGTAGAAAGATTACCATTTTTGTTTTTTTCCCAGTCGAAAGGAAATTGACGGAACTTTATTTCTGAGCAAAAATAATGGCAAATTTTAATGTACTAGGGGGGTAGCCAGAAAGTTTAAAAATTGATGACGTCACAGCTAAAAATCAAAATCATTTTTTTGAAAATCCGAGATGGCCAATTAATTGCCCATTTCACCACGATCACAACGATGCAAAGGTTTAATGCATTTCCTTCATTCCTTTAGGAGATATAAGCACTTCAAAAATCACTCTGCAGAGTGACCTCGTCAAAATGCCCGGGGCTATATCTCCTAAACCGCTGACCGTAGGGGTCTGGCGTTGTCACCATTGACTTCAGGGCATAAGAGAACCCTGTAGACAAGATTTCATCAAAATCAAAAATGGTCGGGTGTAAATCTGATAAAATTTTGGTCGATCTATCGTGGAATGCCCCAGGCGCCGGGACTGTTATGATTGGGCGGCGTCATCCGGTCTGGGGACTTCCCCCGGTCTGTCCTGAGCTGTGTCATCACTCAGGTCAGCCTTCCCCGGGCACGACTGGCTGTGTCGGTATCTCAGTCGGCTCATGTTGCAGTCGGGGATTCAGATGCCGCCCTCCCCGTCCGGTCTCTTGATCTGGAATTGATAACTGAGAAATGGAAAAAATCCCTTTCTGTTTCCAAATATCTACTGTTTCTACGCTGGTTGTTATTCGGCGAATCTGGGTGTGCACGTATATTTATAAAGGCACTTATTTTTGCCATGCTATCCTGAAGATTACATATTTCTATGGTGACAATAAAACTGCTTTAGCTCGCAGCAAATTATTCACATTTTCTACATTAGTTGGTCACAGTCTTGCTCTGACCCACTGGTATTTACTATTTATCCCAGTATGTGCTTATTTCCCTTTGTGTCCCCAGCCTACGCTGAGGACCTTCCTGTTCCTGATTCCCCGCCTGTGCTGTGTTTTGTGTGCGTCCCTGACTCCCTGGTTTGCTCTGCAGTCTACGAGTTCTTTTTTTCTCGGTTTTCTGCACCTCGGCGTTTGGACGGATGATTTGATCTTTTGACCCCCTGCTTCAGGCATGCCACTAGCTCTCGAACTTGCCTCTAATTATATCCATCAAAACAATAACGTCAGGATGTGATAATATTTAAACCGCATCATTCGGATTTCGTTCCACAACACAAACAGGGTTATAGACAAAGCGTGTTTATTTAAAAATGAATGGGCGGTGACATGACATTGACACGCTACCCCCATCTAGGTTAGCTGTTTTCCAACAACTTCACATAACGCTACTAGCGTAGTACTTCACTCCGCGAGAATCTCTGAACTAATCCGCGGCTACGGCCCGCATCTGACGTCACCGCTCGTCTAAAGAAGCTCTGAATTAAACATAAGGGGCAACCTGCAGGTGCAAAACGCCACGCGTCATCGTGGACTCAAACGCTAATGAAGACGACAAACTAAGCAAGTGATGAAAACAAACGCATCAGTAACACATGCCGGAAAATACACCTTGTTTCCCAACACAGTTACTTATTGGTCATGACCGCGCCGCATTGAGTCAGACACGCCACACCGGTCCCCGGAGCATCACTCGCTTCTAAAACATCACAGAGCACTGTCATACACCTGCAGAGACCAGGGGGTCTCCCCCTTGGTCTCCCCCGTCCCGTCCCGGACCCCAGGTCCTGACTCCGGTTCCTGTCCGGCACCTCCATATCTCCCGCTGCTCGTGCCTCGTGGTACTGGCTGCCCGCCTCTAGGCACACTCCTCAGCCTTGATGAGCTGGCCGTTCGGCGTGCACACGAGCGGAGTGGGCGAATCCTGCAGCGACACCTCACGCTGGTACTTGAAGCCGCGCGTGGCATCGCGGAGCTCGCGGTAGAAGGTCAGCACGAGCACCCACCAGAACCAGAGCAGCACGCAGACGCCAATGTCGACGACGCCTCCGATGATGCCTGGAAGGATGACGCCGTTGACGTTCACGCTGCCGACCATCACGAGGCAAGCGATGAGAGCTCCAACAACCGCGATCGAGTGCAGCACGAAGTGGATGCCGTAGAACACCAGCCAGGCGAGGACGGCGCAGCTGGAGTCGTACTCAACGCCGTGGATCAGCAGGCTGTTGAAGATGACCGCCAGCAGCACGTACACGGTGCAGCAGATGAGCGCGATCTGCACCCCCTTGGCCAGACCGTCCAGACCGGGCACCAGGTGGTTGTTGTCACTGCGCAGCTCGCCGCCGGGAGTGTGCAGCGACACGTGACCCCTGTCGGACACGGACGCGCCGTAGCGGCCCAGCTTTCCCAGGTTCAGTTCGACCTTCTCGCTGCGTCCGCCGATGACCGATCGCGACTCGCCCACGTTCAGGCCGAACGTGCCCTCCGACGTGTCGACGCCGAAGCCCTGCGACTCGGTCGGTACCGAGTAGCACACGGCCCAGGCGACGATGACGCCGATCAGCATCAGCAGAGATATGACGAGGAAGAACACCCCGACAGACTTCGCACCGCCGCGCAGACCGCAGCAGCAGCAGCCCTTCAGTCTTGCCATCCTCCTGGGCTTTGTTTCAGACAACTCGCAGTCTGTGAAAGAAAAACACGACCATTCAGGTCAGGAAGAAGTCCAAAGGTATCACATAAGACATGGGAGGTCCAAACAAGTCGCAATTAAATAAGAGAACATGCAACATCGTACTCGCGTGGCTTGGCGGGGGTCGCGCAATACCTCCTGCTACGCGTGCTTGTCACGATTCACACTTACCGAGTTGATTTTAATCACAATCACTCAATAACCCCAATCAGTGCAAGATAGATATTCCTGAATTATTTCTCACTCACCCGTTCTCCTCCTTCCTTGATGCCGTGTGTGACCGGTCCCGATTCCCACTCGCGTTCGTTACGGTCCGCCGTCGGCCAGACCTCGATCACGACTGAGATCGTGAACCGGGCGGCGAGGGGCACCGGCGCGGCGGCTCAATACCCTAGCGGCGGCGGCTGGGAGCTGTGAAGGGTGCGGCACCGGCCCGGCCGCGGCCGCCATGGGCCCGCAGCGGGCTCTACCAAACTGGCAACGACTGGCAACTGACAGACAACTGACTCACACTTTCCGCCTAGACGGCGTCTGAGAAAGTCTTGCAATGTGCATAGTTACTCTTCAATGATGGCAGTGCAGGGTCATGCAAAATGAGCGTTTTACTTATTTCTAGACGGCTGGGGATGTGGCTCGCTTGGCATCATAGTTCATTGATTGGTCGATATTTTAGCTCTGCTTTCGGGCTTGCATCTGTGCAATGGAGGATCTAGTTGTTAAACTTGGGCGAAGCCGTCGTAGAGCTGTGCCGGTTTCCTTGGGTAACAGCTACTGAGGTCTGAGAAAGTCTTGCAATATAGGTACATAGTTACTCTTCAATGATGGCAGTTCAGGGTCATGCAAAATGAGCGTTTTACTGATTTCTAGACGGCTGGGGATGTGGCTCGCTTGGCATCATAGTTCATTTTCCATGAGACAAAATGTGCATTAAATTCCATAGCAACGCATAAGAATGCCAAATTGGAGGAATTATTGCAGTGTGGATAGTTATTGGAAGAGTAGTTGCCACTACCGTAGCATCCAATGCCTAGATCACAGAGCATCTGGATCCGCCATTCAATCTGTGCTGAGCTCACAGCTCCTCTTTCTAACTATTCCTCGTTTGAGGCCAGTTTTATGAACAGAAAAATAGCCGGCTGCCGGTATTTTCATTTCTAAAAGCCTCCCTCACGATCAACTAATCACGCGACAAAACCGCTATTGTGAAAACAAGTTAGGCTGGCTGATATTAATATTAACAGCAGTAGACTTTTTCGCCTGAATAGCGAAATTTGGGGACGACTGAAGGCAACACAAATTTGGGCACTCGGCGATTTTTCTGTTAGTATAACTGGCCTCTGATAGGTAGTCAGCTGGAAATTAATGTCTTTTTCTTTTTCGCTGAGTTCAATTTCAATGCCAGTGGCCAGGCCGGGTAAAGGTATTCAATACTTCGATGCATTGTTTTGTGAACAATACATGTACCTACATGAACATACATGAACAATGTACATAAGCAGGTCAAGAGCGAATTTAACTTGACTAGCTCGCAGCTGTGGTCGTGGACTCTGTGCCACACGGCGGCATTGCACAGTCTCGAGACGCCTGAGGCTGTCTGGGCTGCAGCTGGGGAAGGTGCAGGGGGAGGAAGGGAGGGGAGGGGAGAGAGCTGCGAGGTCGGCTAGCGGCGGGCTGGGGCCCGTTTGGGAAACCCTCCTTCTCCGCTTCCGGACAGTGAGAACAGGGAACATGGCCGGGAATATATGGTCGTTATTTGTTGAATCAGTTTCCGGATCACCAGTGTTTTGGTTTAGTCACTCATCACTCGTACGAAACTAAAGACTCATATATCGTTTCCACCATTCCATCTTTGTCATCGCCTCTTTGGAATACGGATGGGATCATTGGTTCGCAACTTTCATTTGATGGTAAAAACTCAGACTCTGGATTCTAAAAGACGTCCATAAAACAGCCGTCGACGAAGTTTCTTTGGCATTGTCTCACGGGGTCAGTGGCGTGCGGGCAACGGCGCAGCTACAGCGGCCGGCAAAGGCGGTTCCGGCACAGCCCCACTACCCCATGCTGCACCCTGGACCCGACCCGATCCGGCAGCCACGCCGGCTCGGCACTCGGCAGTCGGCAGTCGGCAGCCACAGCACTCGGCACTCGGCAGCCACGCCAGCCCCGGCCACAGCTGTGTTCAGAGAACGCACCGCGGCCGTCAGACGTGCCCCGAACGTGCCGGATCCCTCCCCAGAGGGACGGAGCAGGGAGGGTGTCGTACTGCCGGACCGTCTCAGGTTCGGTCGTCTCCGACAGAGGGGTGGGGGGGGGGGAGGGGCGGTCGGTCGGGGCAGGGGTAGGCCCTCGTGTCCCTCAGACGGCTGCGGGGTTTTATGGTTTGTTTGTCGCTGGGGTGAGAGGGAGGGATTAGTCGTATGGAAGAGACGCAGTCCGTCTCAGTTTCGGCACTCAACTATTACCTACGACCTCGGTCTCGGTATGCGCTTGGTGCTATTATGCTGCACTAGCCACTACGGATAACAACTATCCGCACTCCGCAGCCTGTCAGGTCCAGCGACTGCGTCATAAAGGGACCGGAATTATAGCTTCTTTATCCTTTTTTGAAAATGTTTATTCAATCACAAAATATGTGAATGGGCGCTAAATGACCTAGTCGCAGCCATAGCAGCTGGCTCACTTAGAATCCAAATGAACAAACAAACAAACAAACAAACAAACAAACAAACAAACAAACAAAAACTTGTGCGGGTTCCTGGAGAGAATGAATCAACAATTTTAGAGAAATCAACAACAATGAATTATAGAAATCTCTACCTCAGCGGGTCTGTGTCTTCTCACAGCGTTGGTCATCAGGCATCGCCGACTGTTGCTTTGCGTGAATGACGTCCTCGACTGACGCTGATAACGCTTATGACGTGCTGTCTCTGACGACGTTGATGACGAACTGTCTGATGACGCTGTTGATGGCATGCTCTCCCTGATGACGCTGATGACGTACTGTTTCTGCTGTGGTGCGATACCTGATCACGTGCGGTTTGTGATGGCGTTGGTGACACTGTTGACGCGCTGTCTCTGATGACGCTCTGTATCTAACGCCATCGTTCCTGTTGTTGTTACAGAGCTGGATGACGGCGTCTGTAACCCGATTTGGTCCATGCGCGGCTTCTCTCAGACGTTCAACTTTTGGAGGGAGACGAAGCGGACGTCCAGCCTGCCGCTCAGCACCTACCTGACCTACGTGATGCTGCCCTGGCAAACCATCATCAGTGGTAAGTGGTGCCGGCGACCGGGGTTCGCCGCCTGACCTCACCCTGGCGGTCCGTCAAGCGCATGCTGCCTTACCGCACCCTACGTCTGGATAGTGAGCAAACTGAGGGTACGATGCGCGCTTGATGAGTTCCTTTTACAATTCGAAACGTGTTCGTACCGTATGGAAGGCAGGGAGAAGAGTTGGAATCGCAGTCGTATTGCGTGCTCGTAAAATTGCTGCTTTCACTTTCCAGGGGTTCACAAAATGTATCTTGCGTCTTTCCCTTTCATTCGCTCTCCTACCTCAGAAAAGGACGATGTGTAGATTTTCTGTCTTGTATTTTGGTCTATATACAATCATATTGTTAACCCTTTTAAAGGCATAAGAAAACGCACCAGTGAAAATGACGTTTTGACCTATTGATTGACACCAGCCTGCATCTACTTTCAGATATCATAGCTGAAGAGAACAGGCAAGATCCGATTTTATCTTTTTAAAGTCGTCTCAGATGCAACGGTCATCGTCTAGTCAAGCTTCCACGCAAGTATTTGTATTTCTTCGCTACATCTCTCTCCCTCTCCTCTTCCGTGTACCGTCAATCGTATGCACTTTTACTCTTAGCTCCATTACTCCATCGAACTATTGGAGCGTGCGATATTGACAACACAACGGTTAGCCTTACGGGCTAGCCCTCGAAGCCGACAGTTCAATGCGCACAGTTTTACACGGGTTCGCGTGAGCTTTAACCCAGTTCTCTGCGCGACGTCAGTGCTTCATACCATAAGACCAACGTGCCTCCAAGTGGCGAACGCCCCTGAACGGAAAGGGTGGCAAATTCAGAACGGTAAAGCAAACGGTTTCATACACCTAGTGCGTACTGCGTAGCGTCACGCACTGTGAGACTGTGATTTAGCATGTAGCCCGTATTGGGGCGAGCTGAAATAGGCCCAACAGGGATCTGAAATGCATTATCTCCAATGGAGACTGTAGAATGGTCTCAACAGTTGGCGCATCCTTTAAACAGATATTCAATCACCTAATGAAGACGTAATACATGACGGGGCATTGTCAAAGCTTCCCGTATACCTAAATGATGCTTTTTGACAAGTGATTGGGTGATCGGTGCCATTGCGCTCAGCCTAGGCTCGTGAAACAAATGTATCGATATTTTGTAGCGCCGCAGTCGGTCGTGCTTTTGTGATATTGGATGGGCGTTAGGTGCAGATAGTTGCTAAATGCAATCGGTACATTAAACCCTTTTGTGTTTCATTTACTATTTTATGCTTCCTGCTTATTTATGCTACTTTTTAGGAGCAACTCAGTGGCAATGTATTCTTGTGGCTACTGAAGTTTTATGTACTGTTACGGTTACATTCCTAGGTTAAATAATCGCAGTATTTTTTAATATCGTGATTAGGATGGATTGTAATAATACATTAAACGAGTAAATATTTACATATGCCAGCACTTTTTAGACACTTTTAATGTTTTCGGCTAAAGATCCCTGAATGTTATCGGAAATACCGCCTGGCATTGTTATGAAGTCCTACGCAAAACCGGGTCTGAGATATTGTGCATTAATAGCCTAATAGGTAATCTTTTGTGTAGCTTTCAATAACATTGTCGGGTTAGCTCATTTAATTATTACGTTCCTTCATTGTCTTTCGTGATTCAGATGTCGTATATTGTGTACTGTCTCCGTTGTTTGCTCGACGTGCTCTTATTCTTGTTGTGTTTTCGTGTGCTTCTTTTTTGTGTGTGTATCTGTATCAGATTTCATAGCTAGTTTTAGAGTCACCCCTCGTGGTCAATGTTCATGCAATTGACCGTTATGTGGGTTGGAAAAAGTACTATTTTCCTATACGGCTAGTTTGAATACGTGTAATTGGCGTTCCGGCATATTTGTTCATGTTTTATGTCTTTATATCATTTATATTACACTATTTTAGTCGTAACGGGTGTCCGTACGTAACGGGCCATCCTTTTGAATACAGGGTATCTGGCTTCACATTACGAAGTTAACTGATACCGGCGTCAATTTGGTTTTAATGGCAAGTTTCAGGCTCTGTATAACACAAAGTGCCTATAATGGTACAGCTTTTTAAGCTTGTATGTCAGTTTTACATTTGGGCTTTAAATACACGGCATTTATGCTACAAAATATCGCATTACGGTTTGCTTGTTTAGGGATTCGCTGGAGCTGTTTGGTTGCAGTGGTGTTTGTTGTATTGTTTGTATGAACCCTTTTGGGAACGATGAGACACGATGGCCATCGTGAAGTAACTCTTGTGATAGTGATGATGAAAGATTGTCAGAGTAAAATATTTGTAATGATTGTGGATTAACCCTCGCATGTGTGCGGCGTTTGCCAGCTTCTAATGTGTAGGGGGGGGGGGGGTCGGTTGGACCCCCCCTTGCCGTTTGGCCCCTGATCGAGCTAGAGCTTCGCGGAAAAAACGAGCGTGTTGCCCGTGACGAGAGGAAGCCGATGATACCCAACTTTAAGGTCCTAGGTCATTGGATGACCTTCCAGGTCAGGTCAATGACCCAAAGTCGGGAAAATCGGGACCTGTTAGAAAGTCGTAAAGTGGGGCTGCTAAGGGGTTTTTCGGGGTGCTGATCACGAATATCGTGTTATTTTTGATCACAGATGATGTCTTTAAGCATTTAGACCAGGTCGGGTCAGGTCAGGTCAGGTCAACCAGTAGGCATCGTGACGGGTATTCGTAGTACGTGTCAACCGCCTCTGACAGCTTCGTAACATGTTACGAAGGCACCAAAACTACTTCGTAAATGTTCAAATGGTTGCTAAATTCGAATTCAGCTCAAAAAACTAGCCTAGAAACATGTACAGCTCAAAAAAGGGAACCGAGGTCACCCGAGGTCACCAAAGGTCAATGACCTGACCTGACCTTCAGGTGATCTTGACACCCACCTTAATGCATGGAAGCAGCATCAAATCACATGTTTGAACGTTTGAAACCACGAAAAGCTTGCAAACGCGCGGCTAATGCGAGCCGACATACGCAGAATCGCGATTCCGGCCAAACATGGTCTCAGAAAAGAGGTCACAGGTCAAAGGTCATTTGGGTCAGGGTCATAAAATTTTCAGGGTAGGTGTAAAATTGATCAATGTGAGGGTACTGAAAGTTTCGTCGCGATCGGCCGCTTTTTACGCGAGTTATTCGCGAAAAACCATTGGGGGGTCCATCCGACCCCCCCCCCCCCCCTACACATGCGAGGGTTAATGAGGCAATACTTCAGGCAACATGCATTGGCTTCTGATGCCTCGTTACCGTTTTTATGTCACGGTATTCCGAGAGCAAACCCACATTCGCAGCTGGTACACAGTACCCGTGTATTTTCGAACAAAAACAAGCACTGGGCGTCCAGCCAATACCGTGAGCGTGCACGGAGCCCGCCCGTCTCTCCTTTTCCGCTGTGAGGACATGGAACCCCCGTGCGACCCGTCCTCCTGAACTTTGCTACACTAGCGCCACCTTCTCCGTAACATCCGATCGACCTGCCCTCTGTGGCCACCTCTCCGCAACTCGCTGACTGCCCCGGGCCCGGTGTTTCCCGTACTGCAAAATCACTGGCGCAACGTACGACAATAACAATCCTTTCACTGATAGAAATTAGAGTGACAACAACATTATGAACTACTTAAAATGCAATTCTGTCTGTGTGGCAAAAGTGGAAACAATAAGTTTACCGACAACTGCAACCGACACCTGCTGCTCTGAACGTTGCATAAAACCTTTGAGTTTGATTTTTCTCCGTTTCTGACCTATCTACTGCTCAAACTCTGGCGGCTCGAAGAAGTCGGCCTGCCCGCCGTCGCCGTCCACATCATACAGCCACGGGTACTGCTTGGGACACGAGAAACACGTGCCCATGTACCTGCGGGCAGAGGCGGGACCGTTAGAAATCTGCGAGGCGACCTGGAGGGGAGGGAGTTCATCGATGAATGGGAGTCTGTGACGGGTGGTTGGGGCGGCCAATCCAGGCGTTGGGTTTGGAAAGTGGAACAGGGCGTGGCCCATGGTGACCTAATAGTTAGAGATTGCTGGCATAGACTGATTAAAAGAACAGCCAACCAGACCCACGGATAGGCACTGTGCCAGTCGAGAGATTCTGTGCGGTACTGGTTAGTGGTTAGGTATCTGGACACACATGACACAATGTGACGTATGTACGTGATCCTCTTTTTGCATATGCCTTGAACTACACTTGTCTCTATTCATCACTCCACCTCTCCTCCTTCCACCCTCTCTCTCTCTCTCTCTCTCTCTCTCTCTCTCTCTCTCTCTCTCTCTCTCTCTCTCTCTCTCTCTCTCTCTCTCTCTCTCTCTCTCTCTCTCTCCCTCTCTCTCCTCTCTTCCTCTCGCCACGCACCTGGTGCCGGGGATCCAGCGCTTGTCCACATCCGGCGGCGGCTTGAAGGGCACCTTGCACGAGTTGGGGAGGTTGCAGGCTGGCGGAGGCACCTCCTTGCGCTTGCGGCAGTCCCAGTCGTCAAACTGGGAGATCTGGTTGACGGGCACCGGATCGGACATCCACAGCAGCGCCTGTGTCATCGTCACGAACCACGTATCGTCCCTGAGGAGGAGGGGGGGGGGGGGCGGTCAGTGGTTGTCGTTTTTACGGCGAGGGTCGGGGAGTTGTGGTTATTGTTGAGTTGCAAAGAGCCCCTGCGTTCTGAGTCCTACGTGGTTTATGCGGTCGAGTAATAGAGGGTGGTGGTTATTTAGGGCTGGAAACCTAAGTTAGTTACTGTAGTGGGCGGGAACCGTAAGGTTGCGCTGCAGTGTGGAAAACACTACCATAAATAACGCACTAAAAATGGTCGGGGCTTAGATGCGAATGAAACATAAGAGCACGGCACACCCCAACCTCCTCTCCTCAACTCACTTGGTTCTCGCCCACTTGAGGAACTTGTTGAGACCCTCGATGAGGTTGGCCTCGTTGAACCAGTTGGTGTGGAAGGACATGACGTAGGGCGCGCGGTTGTTCTCGTAGTGCCGGTTGAAGTCCTCCTGGAGCCAGGTCAGGATCTCGTTGGGCTCGTAGTTGAAGAGCACGCACTGGTCCAGGTAGGGACAGTGACCGCCCTCGAAGCTCTCAGTGTAGTGAGAGTTGAGTGGCACCTCCCAGATGCCTGGTGATAGGACAGGGATGAATCAACTAAGTAACGAGCTTGGTGCAGGCTGGTACTATGGCTGGTACGCCTAAAGAGGGCGGCGGTGGGCTGATAGCGAATGTTAGAATTAGGTTGGTGTGGACTGTGGAGTGAACAAAAGAAAGCACGGGATGTCATGAGAAGTCGCATACGCTTCCTTCTTTACGAAAATCCATCGTAAGAAATCATTTTGAAACTTTTTCCCTTCACATGGATCCAATGCAAAAATGCCTGTTTTTTTTTTTTTTTTAGTATGCATGCATGCAAGGCTAGTTGTATTGAGCGAGAAGCTCATGGTGAAAGTCCGTATGAGCTAATGGGCCACCCCGTATCTAATTCCTTGTTGTTTTCTGTTCATAGTGTGGTACTCCCACGTCGGTCCTTCCCGTATAGCGTGTACCGTGTACCTTCCCCACACCTGAGTAATTGACAGCCGTTATCCGAGTACCGCTTTAAGTGTATCCCCGTACCTGGGTACTGCGATGTGGGGCAGCCGCCGGAGCGGCAGTCGTGCGAGTGTGTCCCTTACCCGAGTACTGTGAGCTGTGTCCCTTACCTGGGTACTGCGATGTGGGGCAGCCGCCGGAGCGACAGTCGTGCGGGATCTTGTAGTCGAGCGTGTACGGCCAGACGGGAACCCGTACCGGCGGCACCGACACTGAGCTGTCCCACACGAAACCGTAGTCGAGCATCATCTGTGAGCGGCCAGGGCGTGGGTTAGGGTGGTGGCGGGCTGCAGACGGGCTTCCTAGACGCTGGTCGTGCGCTAATGTCGAGCACGGGGGATTACGGCAAACAGTAAAAGGACTCGCGTATCAGCATGGTGGCCTAGTGTTGAGGATGTTGGCTATAAAGATAACAAAATTCAACTTGTGATGTGCAATATTGTATGCAATTACTTCAATGCAATGTCTGTGTGACCGAGAAGAACATTTGCCACTAGCTCAGGATCTTCTGCCCTAAACTTGGCCGATTAGGACAGGAATAGTTAAGTTTAAGTGAAGTGCTAACTCCCTCACGAGTTTCATTTCGCCATATTTCCCTCTTCCCGTCCACTCACATTGAACTGTTCGTTGCCACCGGGCTTCAGTCTCGGGGAGCGCATTCCGAGCACCTCGAACTCGGAGACGTTGGCCCACAGGTTGAGCATGGTGCGCATACCGACCATCTCTTGGATCCACTCCTCGTACGGCTCCCGAGACAGGTCACGTGACCTGTGGGGTGGGCCAGGGCAGCACGGTCAGGTTTGGGGGGACACGGGACTGAGTAAGACGTGGAGTGACTTGGCGTACGAAATAGATACGGTTGGCTCAGTCCGCCGAGTTCGAAATGAAGACTGCTTACACCTTAGGTGGTGTAACTCTCGTTTGTTTACGTTCCCAAAAACCCTTTTCAATTATGTCATATTACCAGTCTAGCTAGCATGTTGTTGATAAATAAAAAAGTAATTTATTGGATTATCCTTATGTTAACCAGACGATGGTCACGAATGTTTACAGTAATTTGCCATATAGAAGTGTTAATGGTGTTCCACACATGTTTGTTTGAGAACCCGTCGTGACTCACGGCTTTTCCTCGTTTGCAGAGTAACCTCCGTAGCCCAACGGAGATCAATTCATCTACCTCGTGGCATTGCAAAGGCTAATCCTATCCAACTCTCGTGACACTCATAGTGTGATTCCATGTGGCTTACACACCACAATTATATTACCGTGAGCAACGTCGTGAAATCTTGTAACTCACGTCACGCTGTAGAGGGCGATCTCGTGGCTCTTGCTGTAGAGCTGCTGCACCATCTGGTAGTCGGTGTACTCGTGGCTGATGAAGAAGGTGCCGCGCATCGGGCACTCGTTGGGGTTCTTGTGCTCGGTGTCGTTGAACAGCCGGACGTAGTGCTCGTAGTTCTGACCGTTGACGGCGCCGTCCAACGCGAGAATGATCATCTGCGGCGTCTGAAATCCGACAAGGAGGAAGTGTAAATGTAAGCAACATAAGGCATACTTTCACTATGATGAGCTTGGGTTCCGAGCGTCTGCTGCACTGATCCTCGACGGCCAGGTGGACATATTCATGGTGCTGCCTGGTCACTCTTTCCAGAGAAACTTCTCAGCCTTTAGCCGGCGGAGGGCGATAGTTCCTCTGTAGCGCCCAGTCCCTTTTGTAGGCTTGTTGATAGCCGAAACTCACCTCTGCAGGGTCCCAGGCTGGGCACTCCCTTCCCCAAGCAAACCATTTGCCAGGGCTCATCTCTGCAGGATCCAGTCCGCCTCTTCCCCACACACTAAGGCTGGGTGGTAGTCTAAACTCACCTCTGAGGGGTCCAGTCCGCCGGGGATCAGTGTGCCGTCCTTGGAGCAGAAGCAGTTGGGCAGCGGACAGTTGGCCGTGTCACAGGACGTCGCCTTGTACGGGTCCTCGGTGGTCGGCGGACCCGGGGCTGACGATGGAAAGAAAAGTTACCGGTGGTGTCGGCGGCGAGAATCGTTATGACGGCCGGTTTGGTCGTGCTTAATGGTCACAAGCTTACAGCTAGCGTGTGATAATATTGAATCCGGCTGGGATTTCTTGAAGGCGCAGTAAACACATGGTTGAATCATGTGCACATTTCATAATGCACTTTTCAAAAAGCATGTCCAAATTATAAGCACTTATTCAACTGACAGCTCTGATTGGGTGTCGAACCGGAAGATGTCGTGGGGATATGATAAGTTTATCCCTGAATCGGCAAATAAATTATAATGTCATTAATTAAATGCTGTATATTGAAAACATACACCGAAATCAGGCGTTCAACCGTCCCCTCCGATGAGCAGCGCCATAAGTCCCTTACTGGTTGTGATGGGTCCGCACTCGGCGACATCCTTGAAGTCACATTGTTTCCTCCTGTCGTCCCAGTGCAGTCCGGAGGGACAGAGCTGGTCGTACGGGTAGTCGTCCACACACTGGTAAAACCTGCGAGCAGGGGAACGGTCAACGAGCTGAAATGTGGACGTCGAGCGTGCCAGAAAGTTTGAGTTTGTAAGGAATGCGCTGAACAGTGAACAGCTAAGTCACACGTAATTCAAAGCACCTTGGACTTATTGTTCATCAATTATGGAAGGTTGCTGGGACTGGGGCCGCCCTCGGGACTTCCTGTGACGTTTTAGATGGCTGTTCGCCAACCCTCGCTCGGTTGGGGCCTTTCCTGTCGTGCCGTCGGGGAAACAGCCCGTCCCTCCCGCTGTCATGTCTAGAATGAGTTCTAGTATGACGAGTGACGACTTGAGAAGCCTATGATGAACTTTCAAACATCGGTCACAACAAATGGGAGACGGACTTCCTACTCAAGCGCCTCAATGGTGCTCTGTATATTTATCAGAACTTTCGTTTTAAATAATGTTTCAAAGGACTGAAAACAGTCCTTAAAGCTCAGCGTCAAAGTCTCTATCCGGCATCATGCAGTTGAAGAATAAGTGAGACCTTCCAGGACCTGTCACGGAACAAACTATATAGTGAATATTCTCCGTACTGGGTGAGCCGGAAGGCTCTAATGAAAACGAACGTCAGAAGGTCGTTGGTTTTGACTCGCTATTTCATAACGCATTACTTGATATAGCATTGCCCAACGCATCTGAGCGTTTCTGCGGTATTGTCGGTTTAAGTACCATGCGTTCTCCGATCTCCTCCTCAAGAGTCCGCTGAGCGAAGGACATGAATCGATTTTCGTGGCTGTCTGCGCGGCGATTAAGCCGCTAGAACTGGTCGCCGACGGCCGGCGGCGGAGCCGGTTAATGGGCGAAAGTCGCCCGCGTCGTCGCTGGGGCCCGCTCGAGCGGCTCGGTCGGCCGGCACTGACTGTCTGTGATGGTCCTGATTGGGTGTCGCGGAGGGGTGGCTCGCTGGTCCCTAGCAATTAGCGCACGGAGGGTTGCCCTGTGCGAGTACGTACCTATCACCGTTTGTTTGTTTTAGTGGGTGCGGTCGGAGTAAATGGGAGTAAATGGCCGTCCGATGGTAAATGTGAACAGTGAAAGTAACTTTGCTCCTAGTTCCATGTGGATCGTCTGAATAGCAAAACTCCAAGGACTTTTGTCCTATTTCGGTTTCATTCCCGGCAGGAAGAGACAATTTTTAATGAAAATGTTTAGGGCTATCGTCATTAGCCAAAACGACTAAGACGGACTAAGACGGATGTTTTAATGCTGTTCTTTAGTTCATGGATGTGCTTGTGACTTTCTGTTCGCTGTGAGGAAAGGGAGTTTGATATTTTCGTCCCACAATGGAGGTGCGTGCAATGAACGAAGCATGAATCGAATCGATCTCGTCATTAAGTACCTTTTCTAGCTTCTGTGAAACATCGCTACCGCATGCTTACTGAAGATATGAGAGGCTCATTTCACTCGCATATTGTGGTTTGGTAGGCATTGAGCACAGATGAGTGCTTCTGCCTTCGGGGATGACTCACTTTCGGCAGTTGTCTGGGTCGGCAAAGTACCCGTCCTTGGCAGGGCACTGGAAGCCCTGGTCTTGAGGAAACTGCGACTCCACTGAAAAAGAAGAGTTTGGTTCTGTCATCGAGCGGGTCTACTTCACAAACTCATTGCAACGACTCAATGTATCGACGTAGGGTGTGTTGCCTTTGAAGCTTTGAAACATGTCTAGTAATGTACCATGACGGATCTGGTACCTTTCCTCTAGATCCAAGGCACGTATGAGGTGATGACTGATGGAACGTGCTGCGTGCACTATGCACCGCAGGGGGAACGCTAAGAAAGATCAGAAAACATTATCTCAATTACTACATTCTTATGTAGTGCACGACCCGCTCCGAATAAAATCACCGACAGTGCACTGTGCAGTGCCAGATCCAGGGCGGCCAGAGTGGACGCATTGTTCGATGGAAGGTGATACAGGCGCCCGAGGGCAGGGCGCAGCGCGCTCCGAGCCGCGGTTGCGAAATTCGCTGCGTGTTTTGCAGAGGCCGCCTCGGCGGTCAGCGGTGCAGGAGGGGCATTGTCCATTGTGCAACGCTCTCGAGCTGAGCTAGAGCACGGTAGGCTGGTTTGTGTCGCGCTTCGAAGCGCTCCCCGTACCTCGGATAGGATGGTGCTCGGTTTATGATTGTTGAGTTGACGTTATATTCTATTTATTTTGGTTCATTTCTTTATGTTATATATTCCATTGATAATCTGAGATTACACCAACACTACGCGCCTACTGTATCTGTCATACAATGTAGTCAATCGCTAAGACGACTCTCCTCCTTAACGACCACGTTTTCATTATAATGACATCATTTCAATTATAATTCACTCCAATATTCAGCGCTATTGTTATTAGTATCGGCTCAGATCGGCAGAATAACTGCGTCGTAAATACAATCAAACGTTCCTCGACAACGTTCGGCACTGCCCATCACGGGACAGGAATCGCTCTGCGTGTCACGCCCCTTGCTGTCACGACCGTCACGTCGCCTTTGTGGCCCGTCACGGAAACTGGACGGTCCGTGACGGGGACGGACCGTTCCGTGACGGTTTGGCCGACACGGACACGGGTCGTGTCCGGAAGAAGTCGAGGGAGGTCACAGATGGTCATTGGACGAAGTCTAACTGTTACGGCTGCCGATGAACGTAGCTCGGCGGATGCATTTTGGTGTGCAACGTCCGAGAAATAGTTGAGGCTGAAGAGGTATAAGAATTTGTCCAGGATTGATGTGTTTCTGAATGTATCCAAGCTGGATATGCTACATCTGTCAGTGTAGGAATAGTTACGTAATGCAAAAGTCATTGATGAGGGAGTGCGTTGAAAGCTATTTTAAATACTTTCGTGTGATTAATGCGTGAACGTTTCCCCGAAAACCGGCCAGATTATATGATTATATTACACATTACAACATTCCCTCCCTCTAGCCAAGTCGTCAAACAAGTAGCACAAGGCCAAGTTCTACGTATCGCGCCCAGAATTGTGCGAACGTGCCGCGCGGTAAAGTGAAGTACGAGGGTCACAGTTCCAACCCGTGACAATGAATCAGCTTTCACGGAACGGGCGCGCTGTGACGTTATCAGCGCTTCCAGCTCGTATGGGTGGGTTCTGGGACCAGCACGGTGGGCGTCCCCGCGGCTCCGTCCCGGCCATCGCGCGAGGTGTCTGGTGAGATAGCCGATCCTTTCCCGGCGCGTGGCTCCGTCCGCACGCTATCCGCACAGTTCGCCGGAGGCCGCGATCGCCGCCCGTCGCGGCATATCGCGGAGAAAGTGACGCTGTTTGTGAAAACCTCGCCGGCGGTGGCGGCGCGGGCGGCGGGCTGAGATGACCGCGATGTCAGCACAGGGCGCCGCTCGCACCCGGCGCGGCCCAGCCCTGGGCCTGCGCCCTGCAGCCACCCTCTCCGCCTCTGTCGAAACGCACAGCTCCGCGCGGCGCCGGCCGCCGCGCTGTGGTGTTACGCTCTGCTGCCGCAGTGCAGTCTCCATCTCGGCCGGTGCCTGAGGCAGGGGCGGCCACCACCGCGCGTGTGACACAACAGTGGAGTGCCGGTCCGGCGGTCCTGCCCACCGCAGAGCTGGACTGGCGGTTCTGTCCGTCAGTCTTACTTCATGGCCCGCCGTGGAGGTGGGATTAGCCCTGGGAAGATCCTGCTGGCGGATACGCCTCGCTAGTAGCGGCGACCTTGGCCAGATTGGCTTACATCTGACTAGGAATGTTCTGGGAACCGTCGTGGGAGGATGGCTTCCTCAGAAACTGACGCATACTATGACAGATGTGTCGGCGTTTTGACGCTTTAGGTGAACAGCAATGCTGTTTTCCTGTCGTATCTCAACATTGCCAATAGAATACTGGATATGTTATTCAAATAATATAAAAACGTTCTGTTTAACCGTCTTTAATGTTACCTTGAAGACGGTTAAACAGAACGTTTTTATATTATTTGAATGACATACCTATCCAGTTTTTTATTTTAGTATGTCAATGTTACATTGAAGACGGTTAAACAGAACGTTTTTATATTATTTGAATAACATATCCAGTATTTTATTGGCGGGTAACACTGCAATATTCACTTTATTGGTGAATATAATCTGTTCTATGAAACAGCTGGTCCTTAGGCCTGTGGCTTCGTATTTTTTGACGTTCCTTGGTCTTTGCGTCGTGGCTCTGTAAGGTTTGGCATCGCCGCACAAAGATCTGTATTTTTCTGGTTTGCAAACGTTCTCATCTTACGGATTAGTCACCACATTGGTTTGCAAACTGGCTTTCGCGGCTTATCAGTTACGTTCTTAATAAATGGTCGGTGAATGACTATGGGGAGCTTCTCGTGATCTCAGCTTCTACTGATGCAGAAAAAAAAACTAAAAAATAACGAATCGCGTGTGCTTGCTTGCACCACAAAAAGGCAACGCAAGACATTTCATGACACCCGGATTTCGCACGTGCATCTCACGGAATGGCGAGACTTCTTGCTCAAGCTCATGCATGATAACAGCCGATTAAAGGCGGCGGCAGGTTGATTTACAGCGTTGTTCAAATAGCCGTGCCGGCTTTGGCTGCCGGTGAGCAGCGCGGACCTGCCAATGGAACCGGAGCCGGCACGACTCCGGGGCAGCCCGTGGGCCTCTTGCCGGGAGGTTGATGCAACCCGAGTACCCCGAACGGTGGCAGAGCGGCGCTCTCATGCAAACGAGCCAACTGGGAATTGTAGGAGCGGTCTGTGGCGTTTGTTAGAAGGCACAACCGTAAGCTGAACAGGTGGATGCATGTAGATGGATATGCAGAGCAGATGGATGCATTTGTGTATAGGAGAGATGGGCCTCTGGGATGGAATAAGCGTGTCTTGCAATGTTCAACATTGCTCCATTGCTGAATAGCCGCGGCTTCGAACAATCACTGATAACGAGAACGCGAGCCTCAACATTGTTAAATAGCAATGAAATTTTACAGATTTTTGGTTCCCAATGGGATGAGACACTTTAAAATGGAAAACATCACCAAAGACAACAGCCAACATGCAGGCACGCTACGGCTATGCAGTGCAATGCAAAATGTTGGCATGTGGAACACGCCAGATGGAAGACGATTAGTGATTGGTCGAATGGATAGGGTACAAATGTCCTAAAGAATTCCAGAAATTCATACAACAAGTTATACAAGAGGGAAAGCAAGTTAAACCAGGTAGATGCCCACTAGATGTGCTAACAACACCTGTACCATCTTGCCCGGAGCAACGATGTCAAAATCTAAGCCACGAAAGATAATTATCGAAATCAATGGCATTTAAAGTTGAGCAGCTGTTTCCTCAGGGCTGCTCCCATCATTAAATTTATCAACAACCAATTATGTAATCGCTTTCAGAACTGGAAAATGCGCGTCAATTGATGAAAAGATTTTAAAAAATGAAATAGCGGCACTATTTACTTTCGTCCACATCCCGGGCGGCACACTATGGAAGAACGGAGGGATGGAGGACCAGAGGGTGCAATGCTGCACCCCTGCAGACACCCACCTGGCCCGAAGGAGGCCAGCAGGCCAGCAGCCAGCAGCAGACACCAGCGCGCCATCACGGCAGACGCGAGACTGGCCGGGCGCCGCCGCCGCCGCCGCCAACCTCACTTTCTCAAACGCGCGGCGGGTGACGGCGGCGGCAGCCCGGGGCCTGGCACCGTGTCGGCCCAGCCGCACCGAGTCGCACCTCGGCCGGACACCGGTCAGCGGAGGCACGGCCGGCTGGCAGCGGCCGTCACCGTCCCAGCCGGCCGCACACCGGTGACCGGCAGGTCGTGCAGACTCCTCTGGGCGGCCACCACCCACGGCTAGCTGAGACCTCATCTGCATACAGAGAGAGCTGACTCTGAGACATACTGCGGTGCTCTAACGGGCCCACGAGACGTAACGAGCTGGATCCGTGGTATATTTCCGCCTTAACCCGACCAGGGGTCAGACGCCACAGGTCAGAGGTCATAGGTCGTGACTCGTGGGTCACGAGTGAATGGGTGAAGTCGGCCTCTGTAGTCGGACGTTCTACGGTGGGACGCGGTCGTCCAGACAAGTACGGAAGGCACGGGGATCACCGCGGCGGAAAATACATGTCTGTGGTCGGAGAAACGTTACGGTTCAGTGATGCGAATCAGCCTGGATGTGAGTTCAGGGAATGTCGACACTCGTCATGAACTGCTGGAAGCCAACAAAGGAATGCTGGAAGATTGTGGCATTGCTGACTAGAGCGTCACGTACCAGTTGTTTTATAAGACTAAGGAGTGACATACCTAATTGTCGGGACTTTCAATACAGACAACTAGGGAAGATTGTCACTGGTGGACAAATTGAAGAGCAGCTGGTCATGGCCGCTCAACTGGGAGGCGGGTGCCGGTATTTCATGGTAACATATGACTGGAATTACATAGTAACGTGTCATCACTTTTGCTTCATAATTCAGGAATCCATGGATCTGCACATGAAACGTGCCAAAATGTATTTCATTTCAGCATCAAACTTACGATTGAGTGCTTAGAAGGCACCATAGCGGTACATTTCCAAGACTCAATATTCTGTCTTCATTGCGTTCCTTTTCTACATTGTGCTCTTCCGTGTGTTTCCTGCCTTCTGTTCCTTGAAACAGTAGTTTCGTGTGCTTCCACTTCCAATCGTAATATCAGACATTAGAGATTCAAGGTCGGATACTGAAGTGTCGGTTCGCATACACCGGAGGCCGATGTGCGAGTGTTAATTGGACGCTCACTTTCACCTTCAGAGTCGTCATGGAATGTGACGATAAAAATCGCACCTACCTGTTTGTCGCCTGTCCGTCGCCGAACCGAAGGTCACCGTTCAAATCGCAGCTGCTTGGTATACGCTTACCTGAGGTATGTGATGTAGATGTGCAGATGCCCCAGTGACATTTGACGTGCTGCTTTTAAGCAATGCTGCCGAGAGAATAAGACTGTGTGCGGGTTAATAACTTTTGAGAAATGATTCTGCCTGTGTAACTGAAGATGATAGCTGAAGACAGCTCGTCTTGTGCGCATTACGAATCTTGTGCTCATTACGAGTCTGAGAATTGAATATCATTTCAACTAATGTAGCCTTGCTTCAGCTGCAGCCTTCAAATACCTAATGTTTTTAGTTGCTTTGATTCATTTTTAAATCCGCCTTTTCTTCCTCACCAAAGTCGCATTGGTAACAGGGGTCAGTTGATTTCCAAAGTGTAACCCAAAGCCGAGCTTGTCCTTGGCATAGGTTGTGTGGGCCCGGTATGCCTGCTGATTCAACTGGCCTCTGTGCCGAACTGCTGTTATCGGCAAACAGCGAACAACACGCTCGTCAAGAGCGGGCTCAGCGGACCCTGGCCTTTTGTCGGGCACGGGTTGTGTCTGGTCATGGGGTGCCAATGGGTGCTGCGCGCCCCGAAGCCCCGGCCAGCTCGGCCGCGGGCCGCAGTTGGCTCCCGTGGTCCTCCCAGAGGCTCAGGCAGCTCAGTCAGTGCAGGGAGCCGCCGCCCGAGGCACCAGGATCTGCCGGGGGCCGTCCGACGCGGCCATAAATCGTCATGGGTGACGATAACGGCCAGATTATTGAGAAGGATCAGGTACGTGAACTGAAGGTGTGGCTGTCCCTAGGGATCTAAATTGCATTGGAATTAATTTGTTGAAAGATTCAAGCGTCTTTTGATTTCGTTTGCTTTAAGCTGAACCTTTATCCATAGCAAAAAGCACAAAAAACGTTTAAATCTAAATGAATTAAAATGGGGCTTTTTCTAGACAACATACACCCCAACTAACTTCGTGCATTCGCTAGTCCACTATAGCTCATACATCAGGGTCTCATGATCCCACTTCCGCAGAAAGGCAATGGTGAGCCTCGGGCGAGATGGGGCAACCGTATCGAGTTCCTGCTGTCCTGCATCGCCATGTCGGTGGGACTGGGCAACGTGTGGAGATTTCCGTTCACCGCCTACGAGAACGGCGGTGGCGCCTTCCTTCTGCCGTATCTATTCGTGCTGATTACCATAGGTGAGGGAATCTGTATATACATACTCGTGCTCTTGAGCTCTTAATGTTCAGCTTAGGCTGGTGACCTGATGCACGCAGGAACGTACGATACAAATAGTTTTCCAGCAACCGATTCTCATCTTTAGATTCGTCAGAATGCTCTTTCATCTTGTTTAATGTGATTATGTTCCTTGTTTTCCACTATCTAGCTACAACTCCGCTAAGATGATAAACAGCGCTGTTTTGATGCCAATGACGAATTCATGACAAAGTACACACGTCTGCTGAGGGTTTCAGGAAAGCCGATGTACTTCATGGAGCTGGCCTTGGGGCAGTTCTCATCACACGGGAGCGTCAAGGTCTGGAGCGTTGTGCCGGCATTTAAAGGTGAATGCCTACCCAGTGACATTCTGATTTCATTGCTGTGTAAAACTTGTGTAATAAAAATATTTTCAAAATCCAGCGATAATGAATCTAGCCATAAAATGTGTAGGTGTTATAAACCTTCTGTATTGTGAGCTCGGAGCGGAATTTAATTTTAGTCGCTCGGTCTCTCCTTTCTGCCTTACGTGCCGGAACCATGGAGCTCAGGCTTCCTCATGTTACGACCTTCTAACCTTGCCTCTTACCATGGACCACAGATTATCCGGCTCAGCAGTCAGCACACCAGCTCTTTGCATGTCTCGAAAATACTGGACTTTTTCCACGCGTGATTCCCGTGATTTAATTCGTTTATTATCCAGAGACATGGGGCGTTTTATGCTGTTTGTACTCGATTCCGGGTCGGACTTTAGCTGAGAGGCCCAGATGCCAAGCTTACGAGGCAAAATAACTGTTAAGTGTCCGAAGCTGCAATAGCCGTTTTCACGACGGCCATCTGGTACACATTTGGTGCACATCTGGTGCTGATAAGGTGCAGATTTGGTCAAATTAGGTTCAGTGTGTCTCTTAGTAGCTGGGGCATTCCACGATAGATCGTACCAGGCCCGTCACCCTCATCTCTCAGATTTGAATGAAAATTGGTACCTACTAGGGGTAATCATAGGCTCTAAAAACACCTACCAAAATATCAGACTTCTCAGATGAAAACTTTTTGAGTTACATTGCATAATATTTTCTAAACTTCAGATTGTAAGGGTGAGTTTGATGAGCTATGACTACGTTTCCATGGGCAAAGGGATTCGTATCCGGATCAGTGAAGCCGTTACTGATCCGGATGACTGGGGCCGTTTCCATGGGCAAAGCCGGTACTGATCCGGATCAGTGAAATAAGAGCTCAGCCGCTACTCATCGGCTTAGGAGAGACGAGTATGGCGCACTTTGGCAATTAATAAAAAGTTCAGCTAACATTTCTGCCCTGGTCTTGTGCAAAAATCGACAAGGATCTTCCGTCCTGAAGATTGGCTTTCTTTTATCATACCGATAGCAAACTCGGCTATTGGGCAAATCTTCCAAACTCTCTACAATAACTCATTTTTCAGTTCGGTTCATGTTAAAAAATAATCATAAACAAATAAATTTACATAGCAATTCGTTCGTCTTTCATTACTTCACAAAACGTTTCGGGCGACCCCGAGTTTCGAACCTAAGACCTTTGGCTCACAAAGCGAAAATCATACCGCTGCGCCACCGCGGCGCTCAGACTCCGGCGTCCTAAATTTATATGTGAGAATAGTTGACAGGCAAATGATGCAATATCGAGAAAGTTTGCATTTGTGCTGTAAGGGATTACACGGGTAATGAAAAAATGCTGGAAAAGATTGCAAAATTGATTTGCCATTCAACACCAACAAATAGATTTAGAACATTGGCACAATAGATCGTAGCAAGATAACTGATTGGTGGATGCTGTTGCGCAACGGGACACCGTGCAGGAGGAATGCACAAACAAATATCTACAATGGTTTAAATCTTTAATAATATTGCCCAAATTTTGAAACATATCATTTTAATAAAAGTATAATTTAAATAAAATATTTCTAATGTGATATATGCATCCAGGCCCATTAAGGCAATTAAAATGAAAATAAGAAAATTAAAAAGTCAAACATTAATCCCTATCGTAACGGCTCAGCTTCTTTCGAAGCTGGATTAGAATCCGGATCAGCGGTAAGGGATTACGGGTGTTTCCATGGGCAGCCTAATCCCTTACGAGGCACTGATCCGGATCAGTGATGCCCATGGAAACGGGGTCTATAACTCAAAAACGAGCTAAGCAAGCAACAAACGGTAAACAGCTTTGAACTAACGATGAATCAAAGATTAATACAGTATTTTTAAAATTGGAAAGAAAAGCTTAACATATTGAAAAAAGTCGTAGTATTTTTCTAAATTGTCTATAATGGCCCTTGGGACCAAAATTTTTGCCATTTTTATTTCTTCAAAATAAACCTCAGGTCCTTTAAAATCGACGTGCAAAAAATTAGAAAGGTGTTCTTTCTATAAGTTCCTCATTTAAATGTATACAAAATGGGTTTCCGGGGGGTCGGTACGACCCCAGCTCGCCGTTTCGCCTCTAATGGAGCTAGAACCTTGCGGAAAAAACGAGCATGTGCGCCGTTACAAGATGCATCGAATGATACCACATTTTAAGGTCTCGGGTTCATTGGTGACCCCTGAGGTCATTTCAAGTGACCCAAATTACGGGTCCGGTTTTTGATAGATAACTTCGCAACAAATGGTCGCAGAGCCGCGATTTTAGCATCTTTGTGTTTGCCTAGCTCCGGCGCGTCGAATGGTATACTGTTTGTTTCGGTGAGGTCAGCTTAAGTCGCTTACCTCGGGTCAGCACACTGCCGTGTATTTGGCTCCGCTCCCCGACCGGGCGGCCCAGCCGGCAGCCAGCCCCCGGGCATCACGTGACCGCCCGAGTCCGCGGCAAAGCCAACCAGCACGGCGCTAGACAAACAGCGCCGCTACAGAGATGGTTAACAGTCGGGTCAGGCCACGAAGCTGGGTGAATGAGATCATATCGCACATCATTCGATTCGCAAGGTCTTCCCGAGTCCATTGGTAGCTTTCCCGTCTCTCTAGCTCAATTTGATCGAGAGCTATTGACGAAAAACTCTTATGACCCCTAGTGACGTACGAATGACGTCACTCAAGGTCAACAATGCAAAAGTGAGGCAAAAATGACTTCAATTGAGCTTTCAGTAACCAGTGATGTCACTAGGCAGCTTTACCACCCCATTAACCCGGCAGTTGCTGGGGTATTTCGCCACCCACCGTTTGCTGGGGGGGGGGGGGCGTTAAACGCCCCCAGCCGATAACTCGAGAACCAATAGGCGCAGCGAAACGCACGAGGCGGCAAACAAAAGAACGCGACGAGACGCTTCAGATGAATACTTTAAAGTTGAATTTTGAGGTCACAGGTCGGGTCAAGGTCAGGTCAAACACCTGAAATCGGGCTTTCAGTAGCATGGACTTCAGGACTTCGCAATGGGCGCCTTTCGTCATAAACTCTGTCAAAACGGCGCACAATCCATCATATAAGGCCTACAAGAGTGTCAGCTCCATCTAGGGGTCAGTCAAGCATAGGTCAGGGTCAAGGTCAGGTCAACCGGGCAGGCACATATCCCCGAAAATCAAAACTGATATTCGCAGCCTGTGACACATGTTTTATGGGTAATTTGGGGCGTAGAACACGATGGTGGTATTCATTTTATCATATGTGTACGTGTTTGGCTAAAAAAGTTCAATTTAAGAAATGCATGTATCATGGTCGTGAAGTAGTCACGAGAAATTGCCAAGATTCAGTTCAAGATTTTGGAAAATGCGGAACGATAATCAATAATCGAAGATAGCCATTTGATTGTTCATGGTATTGGCAGTCTAATGGCGTTTACGGCATGTCTGTATGTCTATTCTGTGATTTTATATGATTTTTGGAACATATGCCGTTTTTGGTCGAAAACTCAGAAATCATGACGTCACTAAAAGCTCGATATCTCAAAAATTTTCCGACCGATTTTTTTGAAACTTTGTCACAATAAGCTTCAATCAATTCCCTACAGGTACCTAAAATTTGGCGCGCCTGCGGCGCGCCGTTTTTATGCTATGGCCCGGCGAAAAAAGTGGGGGCGTTTAACGCCCCCCCCCCAGCAACTCGCGGGTTAATAGGCTCTCTTCCGAAATCACAATTCGAGACCATTACGGTGACGCAAAAAAGTACATTTATAGAAAGAACACCTTCCTAATTTTTTGCATACTACTTAAAAATGACCCAAAAATGATTTTAAGTAAATAAAAATTCAAAAAAATTTGGTCCCAAAGGCATAAAAATGCAAATGAAAGGAAACTCGAGGTGTTATATATCAAAAATAGTATATATTTCAAAATTTTAAAAATGCATATAATTCTTTGTTTCAATGCAAGTTCAATGCAGTATAGCATTTGGCATTTGAATTATCCGTCTTAGAGTTACAGCCCGCCAAACTTCGGGCTGCAACGCAAGATCCAAAACATGTTATACACTATAACTCAAAAACCACTCATCTGATAAGCCTGAAATTGTTACAGGAGGATTCAGAGCCCCTGATTACCCCTGAGACCAATTATCGTTAAAATCCGAGAGATGAGGGTGTCAAATTGGAAAAAAGTGGTACGATCTATCGTGGAATGCCCCAGCTATCAGCTAGGGTTGCACTAATTGCTTATATGCCTGTTTTGTCATATTATCAGAGCGCATCATCGACTAAAACACTGAAATAAATTAATAGAATAAAGATATTTGCTGTAAAAGAGAGTGGGTGCAGATTTGGTCAAAGTATGGTGCAATCGCCGGATAGCCCGTCGTGAAAACGGCTATTATCACTCGGCATTTCATCTCGCCTAATGTCCGGGTCCAATCCGGATTGCCGCAAATAAAGTGAACAGTTAAATAAAGTACATATAATGTTGGTATGTACATATAATGTTGGTATTTTGCGGATTGCCGCAAATAAAGTGAACAGTTAAATAAAAAACATATAATGTTGGTATGACATGTGAAGTGTGAACCCCAAAAGCCAATGGAATGAGTTATTCATCAAACGACAAATACCTACCAAGGAACACCACCTGTCGATATTTGAAGACCGCTAAAAATTAATTTCACATAAAACTCTACAAAATATATGCTAGGTGGTCATCATACGATCACGAATATCAGATCCCTTTTACGGTATCAATCGATGATTCCATCTGCATATTTATCGATTGTGCATGACCTCACCCCGGAGCCAAACCTCATTCACCCCGCCATCACCGGCCACTAGGTGTTCCCACAATCCCCGTCTGTGTTTCGGACAGGTGTCGGGTACGGCCAGCTAACAGCCACGTCCGCCGTGCTCTCCTACTACGTGGCGCTGATGGCGCTCACGGTGTTCTACTTTTTCGCCTCGTTCTCGTCGGTATTGCCGTGGATGGTGTGCGACCCGAGCTGGGCCGACCTGACGCGCTGTGTCGACCCCACCACCAACCTGTCCCAGCTCACCAGCAACGACACCATGGGATCCACCGAAATGTACTTCCAGTGAGTGCTCGTACAGGCGAAAATCCCGAAAATCTTGTCATTATAAAATATGGCTTAACCCTAGAACGCCTAGGGGGGTTGTATCAACCCCCCCCCCCTGAGGTTTTTTCGAAGTGCACGCTAAACGGCTTGTCGTAGCGGGCTGAAATTTTCAATACCCTCTGGGGCAACCTTTGCGCATCTTTTGCCGAAAAAAAAATTGATCGGGTCATGTCAGGTCACGGAGTTATGACGTCATAAGAGGTACAGCCTCCGGCCGGATTTTCACAAACTGAGTGCCAACGCCCGAGGTTTCCTGCCGGTGGTACGGACATCGGTTGATGGATCGTGATGAAACTTCCCATGCATGTTGGGGCAAGTATTGGCTATCATATGGTATAAGAAATTTGACCGGGTCAGGTCAGGTCACGGAGCTATGACGTCACAAGAGGAACAGCGTCCGGTACTATTTTTGAAAAGCGCCCGAACCACTATTTTGCTAATTCTTGTCACCTCAATGGGAATATGCAGCAATATTAGCTTCTATAGGGAGCAAATGGACCTCCCAAATCCAAAAATACAATCAGATTTCAAAAATTTAAATTTTGATTTTTCGAATTTCTGCCGCCGACTGTGACCTTGCCGACTTCCGGCGCTCCCAACGCGCCATTTTTAGAGCTAGGGAAACGAAATACATACCAAACGATAGAGAATTGATCAAGGAACACGATAGTGAAGGTTTCAAGTCGATATCTCCCACCGTTTTGCCGCAATCGCCGCCGAAAGTTGAAAAAGTCTATTTTTCCGAAAATTTGACCTTTGACCGGTCAAAAGTAGGTCAAATGTTGACCTAGGACCAAAAAATATACCACCAATCGCGAGATCTCGTTGAGAGCAATCCGTTGGTTTTTCCGCTAAGCTCTACGACCTTCCGTTTCGAAACGCCAGGGGGGGGGGGTCGTAACAACCCCCCCCCCCCCCTGGTCGTTCGTGTTATGAGAAATGGCCTGGTCGTGCGAGGGTTAAGTTAGTTCATAGCTTTTGCTGTATTTTTTATCTTTTGTATTTTTGTTTAAGGATAGATAATATTCGTTTGCTTTCACTCAAACGTGTGCATCGTAATGAGACGGTGCACGACCGAATAGACGGATGTGCTACTAAACTAGTGGACCTCCCTTATCCCCGTTCTCAGGATGAACGTGCTGAAGGAGCTGCCCAACATTGACCAGGGTATCGGCCTGCCCTGCTGGAAGCTGACACTCTGTTTTCTCTTCTCCTGGCTGATCGTGTTCCTCACCATGGTGAAGGGCGTGCACAGCTCCGGAAAGGTCGCATACTTTACTGGTAAGTGGCTGCGAGTGGGTGTACTCGCATCAGAAAAGAGGGAATGAGAGGATGAGAGATAAAATTGAGGGAGGGAGGTAGAAGGCTAAAGTATGTATGCATAGGAGTAGCTCAGTTATAGATGGGTGAGAGATTGTTGATAGCCAATTGGGTGTCTGAACTCTGAAACTAATTAAGTACTAAGTGGTTTATTAATGTGATATTTTTATGAATTCGTTATTGTTAAATTGTCCATCGAAAGTAGTAAATGAAATATTTCGGGCGTTGGCGAGCAATGGCGCTACAATGGCAATCGGCTTTGGCTGTTTCATTGTAACCGCACTTTTCTGGTTTCATTTCCCCACAGCCATCTTCCCATACGTCGTGCTGATCACTCTCCTGATCAGAGGGCTGACGCTCCCCGGTGCCTACGACGGAGTCGTGTTTTACATCAAACCGAGATGGAACGAACTGCTCAACGCTAGGGTAAGTATTCGCCTGAATACCCGAATATTCTGACCTCTGAGCTATGAGTGCGTGACTAACTAGTAACTACAGAGCAAAGTTTGTTTAAAAAATAAAAAATCAGCCACCGCTCCCAAGACCCATCCGGGCCAACCCGGGACCGGCCTCTTTGACTGGGGCCGGTCGGCCGGCCGGGCGTGCGGGGCGCCGGCCCTACAAGTCGACGGCTCGCACGTCCGGCCGGTGGATAGGGGGCGCCGCCCGCGATACCCCTTCGCCGGGCGGCGCGGGCGGTGGCTGATGGCCCGCCGCGTTTCTTTAGTCCATGAAAGGACACCGGGGCGGCTTGGCCAGGCGGGCCACACCACATCACGTGGTGGTGGCGAGCTATATTTTTATAATTCGGCCGCCGCCCAGTCAAAATGCAGTTGAAATGTGGCGTCCGATTTGTGTATATTGCCAACACTGCACTGTATGCCAGCGTGTACGCTCGCCAAATATTACTCGCACGTTGTGGGGGTTTTGAAAGCCCTATTGTGTCGGTGCATATCAGGTGTTTGTGGGTCTCACCTGGGTCACGTCTCATTTGCGGGTCACGTCTCAACCTGGAGCGCGCGTTAGCATAGACGGGAAACCGGCTGTTTCGTGTCAGAAGCCATGACAGAGACTGTCCTTGTTGGGCGTGAGAGCCCTCGATTATTATTTACTTGTGTCATATTGTATGGTTTGTCAATAAATGTTTGAAAAAAAACTACAGAGCAAAGTCGCGTCTCGACACTGATTCGCAGACACAACGCGTTTCCATACCTTATTAGCTACTTCTTTACATTATTTTTAAACCGACTTTGCTCGTAATACCCCGATCTCCGCTCTGCCCCAGGTGTGGTACGCGGCCATCACCCAGTCCTTCTACTCCCTCTCCATCGGGTTCGGACCGCTGGTCATGTACTCGAGCTACAACGACTTCAGAGACCCCGTCGCCAGGTACGAGACGGCTTGATTAGAAATAGTAAGATGTGGTATTCCGCAAGTAGGACTTTCTCTATGAGCTCTCTTATCATTATGGTTCTTTCAACATGAAATGCAACTCAAAAACAAAATAAAGCTACTTGTGTCTACGAGAGTCTATCTTCATCACACCCATCTAGTCTCAATCGTCTTGATTTTGATGATTAAGGGTAGCATAGGTACCACTGAGCTCTGTGAACGCAACATTACAGAGACGCAGCCATCATCAGCGTGGCCGACATGTTGACCTCACTGCTGGCCGGGTTCGTCATATTCGGCATCCTGGGTAACCTGGCTCACGAGCTGGACACCACGGTGGACCAGGTCATCAAGGGCGGCGGCACGTCGCTGGCCTTTGTCTCGTACCCGCAGGCGCTGGCCAACTTCCCCGGGGTGCCGCAGGTCAGTGACACGGGCCGTCAGGTCAGATCAGGTTAGGTCACGCACGGAAAGATGAATATCAAAATACTAACAACAATGTGCTTTCAGGGTTTATGGTAGCTCTTGGTTTTCACTGGGCTCGATCTTTCGGATAGTTTTTAGCTATGGAACTTTGCTGATTAATCGTGGAATCAGTCATCCCCTAGTAGACCCGCTGACCTCGTACCCCTATCGTCTCTCCTTGCAGCTGTTTGCCGTGCTGTTCTTCCTCATGTTGTTCACGCTGGGTGTGGGCTCGGCCACCGCCCTCACCGGCTGCGTCATCACCATCCTTCGGGAGGAGTTCCCCAGTGTCAGTCAGCTGGCGGCCACCACCATCGTGTCTGTGGGAGGCTTCCTCGTCGGACTCGTCTACATTACGCCGGTGAGCTGAAGATGATCGAGTGTTTCTTATATGACAAGTGCTTGTATAAAATTGGGTGGCAGCTTAGTTTAACTGAGCCTTTGTTTACTATAAACGATTGATGTGTTTTATTTATTTCCAGAATTTTGCTGTTTTTCTTAATCGCCTTTGATTGTACTGACATAAGGTGTCATTGGCATCTTCTGCTAATTGGTCATATCTTTCAGGGAGGTCAGTTCATTCTAAACTTGGTGGACTTCTTTGGAGGCGGATTTATCGTGTTCATCCTGGCGACTCTGGAAGTTGTGGCTATCCAGTGGGTTTACGGCATCAAAAACTTCTGTGACGACCTGGAATTTATGACTGGCGCTCGTCCCAACTGTTATCTGAAGTTTTGCTGGATGTTTTTCATCCCACTGGCTCTCATGGCCATCTTTATCTACTCGGTGGCTACCATGAAACCTCTGACGTACGGCAAAGTCGAGTACCCGGACAGCGCAATGAGTGAGTACTGAGAAAGATGGTAGTGCAAGGATGCAACAATTTCAACAGTGACGAACGTTGCAGCTGCGTGACTCACTAAAAGCTCCATAGTCCGTACACATTGCATGTCATGTTTGAGAAAAAAAATCACCATAAGTCAAATTACATAATTTTCTTCAAGCTTGAATCCTGACGCAAAGTTATTTCTTGAGGGAATGTCATTTGTATTTGCTTGACAAATGTATCTCTGGCTGACCGTTATTCGTCGTTCTCTCGCCAGTCTGCGGGGGAGTGCTCATCCTTCTGACTCTTCTCATGCTGCCGGTCTGCTTCGCCCGCGAGGTCTACAGGGCGAATGGAATGACCCTTCTGGAGGTGAGCGTAATGTATTGGCTTTCCATATTTTGGAAATAAACTGGAGGATTTTTCGCGTGTGAAGATAGGGAGCATGCTTTGTGATGCCCGAAGGACAATAGCTAACCGGCTTCATGGCTTTGTGGTGCCACATTTCCCTTTATTTCCAACATGATGCACACTTATGTAACTAAGGCTGCAAATCTTCTCTGAAAACGACTGTAATGACGTATTCCCCCGACTCCCCCTGTCCCCTTCCACCAGCGGGTGCGGTCGACGTTCCAGCCGGCAGCGGACTGGGGTCCGGCAGAAAACGAGCACCGCAGGGAGTGGCTGCAGGCCACCGGCCGAAAGGACCCACTGGCCGGCCGGGAGTCGCACCGGCGGCCGCGGCCGCCGCTCCAGCCGCGCCGCCCCAGCTACCGGCCCGGCCCCGAGCCCGCCTACCGACACAGTGTGGCGTTCGCAGTACCGCCACCGGCACTGGAGCGCGGTCAGCGCCGCCTGGCGGAGCTGACACGAAGACACAGTGCGCCGCACCGCTCGCTAGGCGGCGGGTATGTGAATGAAGCTGTGACCGGCAGTCGTACAGATGTGGCCGATGAACGTGTATGAGCACCGTTCCGTGCTTCTATCCTCAGGATACTGAAATCCTTCTCCTCCACGCCGCAACCCCCCTCCGGGCTGGACAGGCAACTTTATCTCATGCGGGCTGCTCCCTTGGAGCGGCACCGCTGCTCCTGAGGGAGCGCACCCCGTAGCCGGGTGCAGTGAGTGCCTTGGGGCTGGGTGGCCTGTCCTCTGGACGGGCTCAGCCCCGGCGACTCACTAGGGTGCCTGCCCAGACCAATGTCTCCCCCTAATTCCTATCATCCTTCCGGCTCTGCAATGGTCTTGTCGACCGAAAGGGCCTAACCCAACAAAACAAACAAACAAACAAACAAACAAACAAACAAACAAACGTGTATGAGCGGACCACCAGAGGGGATGTCGACATTCGACAGGTGTATCACAAGGTCAGTGAGTCCGTGTACTCGAGTCAGCTTGGTAGCTAGATGTACAGCGCTACAGAAAGGCGGAAAGGGGGCGAGGTCGATTTAGTGGCTAAGCAGAGCACGATGCGTGGTGCGCATGATGCATCTCGTTCCGTCGTTTCCATCCTCAGGATGCTGAAATCCTTCTCCTCCACGCCGCAACCCCCACTCCGGACTGAACAGGCATCTTTATCTCATGCGCACTGTTCCCTTGGAACGGCACCACTGCTCTCGAGGGAGCACACCCCGTAGCCGGGTGCAGTGAGTACCTTGGGGCTGGTCGGCCTGTCCTTCGGGACGGGCTCAGCCCCGGCGGCTCACTAGGGTGTCTGCCCAGACCAACGTCTCCCCCTAATTCCTATCATCCCTCCGGCTCTGAAATGGTCTTGTCAGATCGAAAGTGCCTAACCCAACAAAACAAGACAAACAGCTTGATGCATGAAGTGTAGCCTGTAGTAATCAAAACAGAAGGGCCTATGTTGCAAAAAAAGTCTAATTTAGAGCTGACGTTTACAGTGGATGTGCTGAATGCCCTTCTGTAGTGCTCTCTGCTTCTGTAACTGTATTTTAAGCGAGTCTTTTGTATGGAAATACAAATTCGCTTTCATTCGGTTTCAAGCAAATTCTAAGCGATGCCTCCATCATGGTCTACATAGCCGATTTTCAGATGCCAATTATTTATGTCAAATTTATGTCTTTTATGCGGATGAAATTGAATGAAGCGTTCTTAAATCGATTTTGTGTTCAACTCTGCGGTCTATTTTTTCTATTCAACTGTACCAATCATATCCTCCGAATGATAGCTAAAATCTTTGTCTCTTATCAATGTCTGGATTCAATGAAATAATTGGCCAGGCTCTCCTCGGGGTGGAATTTCAGGGACAAGTGGTTAAATTTTTAGTCATTTATTGCATTTACTTAAAAATACCCCACAGACATCACAGAGTAACGTCTTGACACATGCGTTTGTTTAGAGGTTAAATTCGATCGAGAGTGTCTACTTTCGACATGATTGCTCGCTCTCACTCACGCAGCTCACAGACGCGCTATCCGGTATGAAAAACTCGCGCACCCGAGAATCTTCAATCTGTTCCACAGTCCCGGCTGTGACAAACGCTCGAGTGCACATTGAGCGACGACAAAACGGCTCGCCTGAGTCCGCACTCGACACGGGTCGTCGAATTTCTTCACTTCTCTACCGTTCAGTGAACATATCTCGATTTGAGAGGCAGTTCTGCACATCACCCGTGCACATGCAGGAATGCGTTATTGCTCACGTGATCTGTTAGGAGTTTGAGGGCACGATCGCACGCTCAACAATAACATACATCGTTACGCGTTGTAGTCCTAGGCTAGAACACTACATATTCAGAGCCCGGCTATTCCGCTGAAATCTATCGGGCCTCGTATAATCAGTAACAAGCTGGTCTATTGGACACTTCGTCGCATCAAATCTACACATGAAATATTCTGAGAAAAATCGACCCCAACACTCTCATCATTTCATGAGACACCCCTATCGCGGTTTTCTCATCTCGCCAAGTTCGTGTCTCACAAAGTACGCGTCCCATGATCGCCGACATCACACACTGGTGTCGCGGCTGGCGCCGTCTGTCGGCGGACGCGGCGCACTGTGCCTTCTGGCCAGCTCCGTGTGGCGGCGCTGCTGTCGCTGCTCCAGGGACGGCGGCGCGTGCGACACGGTACGCCTGTAGGTGCGGCCCGTCGATGACATGGTGCGCTGGAACGTGTGCCCGCCGGAGACGGTGCGGCGGTACGCGGCGCGGCCCTCGCCCGATACCGTGCGCCGGTAACTGGGGCGGCGCGGCTGGAGCGGCGGCCGCGGCCGCCGGTGCGACTCCCGGCCGGCCAGTGGGTCCTTTCGGCCGGTGGCCTGCAGCCACTCTTTGCGTTGCTCGTTTTCCGCCGGGCCCCAGTCGGCCGCCGGCTGGAACGTCGACCGTACGCGCTGCAGAAAATGGAGAAGGTCGTCATTGATCTGGGCGGCGGACAAGAAAAAAAAATACAAAGAACAAGGACGGACTTGGCTCAGTACGACGAATGTCACGTTCTCGTAAAGGAGCGCCATATTTTTGCTGATGAGCATTGTGACACTGCGGACCAATCTCCAGTACCAGCGGTGTTTGATCGTTACGGACAAGTCAACAAGTAAATCTCAGCAGGAATGCGTGAGGGCTATAAGTTTGGCTAATTAGTGCGTCCCTTACTCGACTCTCATGTTGTTCTTCCCTCTACGCAATGCCACCGTTTCGGTGAGCGTCTTTCGTAAATCCCGCTGGATCTCAGAGGAGTCTGGTATTAAGTTGACTGGCGCTCTCTGTTAGCCGAGACTTCCTCGGAGAGCTCTACAAACAAGCTATGACACCCCAGTCTCAACAACTGTCTTCATTAGAGCCGGAACGGCTGGACTTCTTAGCAGCGGGCGTGACGGTAGTTCATCGAGCTCCGGCCTTTGCTAGAGGAAGTTGTAATGAATTCTGGACTCACAAGGACAATAAGCGAATCGTCTATGACAGTACGTGTCCGGCTTTGATGGGAAAGCTAAACTTTGCCATCCGAGTCAACCTTCCAATTGCCCGGCATTGTTCGATAAGACGGATAGGTCTGATGGGGACTCCACAACAAGCTCTGCTTAGCTTTGGCTCAGTCGCTCTGCCAATCCGTGCATTCAAACATTCGATCAGATTTATTTCATAATTGAAATATACGCTGTACAATCTTATTCAGTAACAGTGGCTTTCCATGTCCAGCATTTTCTGATATCGTTAGAACCAATTTCACCTCCAATAAAGTACCTATTGGAGAACCCAGCCTCCCAATGCCAAACGGCCGGGACCATGTGGTGTTCTGAGACACCGGCCACGACCAGCCGACATAATATGGACCCGGACAAGCCCGCCCCAAGGCCCCTGGACGTGCCTGGGACCGGCAGGGCGTACCGTGCCGCTGTGCCTGTCAGTGGGAGTGCACCGGCGGACCTGACCGCCTGGTGACACGAAGTGAAATACGGGGGGGGGGGGTAGTCGAGAAAAGTTCCCATTTAATTTTGATACATAAGTTCGCAATAAATGAAATCCTAACCTGACTAGTGGTTAATTGGGGCTTTGAAGATTATTGTCAGACAGTTTGTCAACGGTACGCGTAAGCGGTACGGTACGCAAAACAACAAAATGGTCTTTACTTTTGCCGTAAAAGATCACCGATAAGTTATCGCCAATGCTTTCATATCGATTCTATCCAAAAAAACTTTTAAAATCAGTGCCGTACTCATTATGCGGTAACGATACAACGTGCGGCGGTGTACAGTGTGTTGCGGCACAGCATGAATCAGGCGCTAGTCGCCAGTGCCATCTATCGGTGGATTCTGAAACTGGCATTCGTCAGCGCCAGGCGGTGAAAACTGGTATCTTGAACACACAAGGGAAAGCCGATGGCTCAGCGCAGCATAAAAATCGTTTGATATTCCCTTTTTATTTTCGCATATTTTTGTTCAGTATCTTTTTACTCGACCGGGAGACCCTGGCAGTGAAAAAGGAGAACAGTTAACGGAGAAGAGGGAGAGAACATGACGGAGAGAAGAGAGGAGAGTAGGGACAAAAGACGTACTGGGGTTTTTCTCCCCTATAAAAGAGACCAAAGCAGCAGCTAATCTGTAGATGAAGCCATACGACAGAGACAGCATCGGATCTGTGGGTCAACGTTGATTGCTTTTCTGAAGACAAGAGCCAATTTGAAAGGCAAACATCTTGGCCAGCTGCAGACTTCCGCCGCAGAGCAAACGACGGACGTGCAATGCCACCGGATGGACCTTCCTAGACCGTCCCGGAAAGCACGTATCGCAGCCTTGAATAGGATCTGTGGACAACAATGGCGCGAAAAGCCCCCCGCAAATCCGATAGATATTGGCAAATCTGAGTCAGATTGTGCAAAAGTGCTGAGAGTCACCGAGTCGGTATCAGTGCCGTCAGCACGGCATGGGAACAAATCAATCGGCGCGGAGAGCCGGCAGCGCGCCGCCGCCGATGGCGATTTATCGCTGCCGACCGATGACGTCATCAACTTATGGCGTCATCGATATCGCGGCATCTACACAGAGTGTTGCGTCTGTGGGCTATCAAACGAAGACGAAAGAGAAACCTTACGTTTTTAACAAGGATTTAAGCTAGATATGCATTGTGTTATTTTATAGACATCATTTTAACCTGTTAGTTTAATAAGAGTGATCCAAATCTTCAATACCATATCTCGCAGGAAAACAACGAGAAGTTGATCGGTTGCGCTCACATTCATATAGAATATTTATAGTAAGTTCATCTATGTCTCACCTCCAGAAGCGTCCTTCCTTTGGCGTTGTAGACTTCATACACGAAACATACGGGTACCGTAAGAAGGGCGACGGTGATCAGAACCCAACCGCAGACTGTGGGACAGAGCGAAGGTTTTGGTAGATCACTGATCAGTACCCATCCGCAGACTGGAACACAGATACGGCCAGGGTAAACAGCTGGGTATGGACATTGAAACTATTGGGTTAGACGCCGTGACTATTCTGACGACAGATCAACCCAATCATCTGCGATGACAACACATGTCAATTATCATTTTCCGTTGATTTGAAATATTTAGACTCTGAGATAGCTTTTCTGGCTTATGAGGACTCTGTCGACTATGTTTCACCTCTGGTGGTAGACAGACAGATAAATCCATATCTATTATCCTCAAGGCCTGGTTATTTCTCGTTCACCAGCCAGAGATCGAAGCTTTCAATCAATAGGGCCGCTCGGAATCAGGCTGATAGTACAGCTGTCCCGGTTGTTTTTACCGCCATAAAGTCGGGACTGTAGCTGCTCGTTATCCAGTGCCCTTTTACTCGGCAGATTATATATAGAGAGCAAGTCACAAAAAGCTACTCGAGTTGCTGCCGTAACGTGCAGCAAGTAAACGAACAAAAGCCTTGCTGTGATCTGTGAAACATTTTAGTTCGTTATATTCCTTGCACGACCACGTATTCGATGCCTCCAGCTTTTAGCCATCATTACTCCCCAAAAGGGATTAGATCGTTAATTTCACATCAGTATCATTGAGAATGTCTTTCATAAGTTCTTATCAACTCAGTGTGGCCGAGGCCGGACAAAATTGTGTCGCCTGCACTTACTCATTGCGCTGTTTGGGTATCCGATCTTGCCGTACGTCAGCGGCTTCATGGTGACCACGGCGTAGATGAAGATGGCCATGAGAGCCAGCGGGATGAACACTGCCCAACAGAACTTCCAGTAGTAGTTGGGCCGCGTGCCGATCATAAACTCCAGGTCGTCGCTAAAGTTTTTGATGCCGTAAACCCACTGGATAGCGACCACCTCGAGCGTGGCCAGGATAAAGATGATGAAACCTCCACCAAAGTGGTCTACCAGGTTCAGAATGAACTGACCGCCCTGAAATATAGATACCGAGTTATATAACTAGCTCATGATACACTACATGGCCATTGGCCAGGTTATAGGTAAGTGTACCTTTAAGTTTTGTAATATAGCCGGCCGGGCCATGAGAAATCATTTGACGTCCTGATCAATAAGTTATTCGTGCACTTTACATGTCAATTATACTATCAATGAGCGGGGTCTACCATTTGGCGGCGTTCCGGCCCGTGTGCTACTGGCACCATGGGCCGACCGCCTGCCATTGCGGGCCGTCAGTGCCGACCCGGGCAATACCAGTCATCACTCATTCGGGAGGTTCTCATAAGGAGAACGGTAGGTTATTGATGACGTGCTCCGAATATCAGCTCTGCGCCGACCGACTGCACCGCGGCCGTGGTGATATCCGGCCGCACACACCGATACCGCAGACAAATCCCGGATCGACTGTCAAACTATCCCGAGCGGGCAGCGTTGAGGAAGTCAGAGCGTCCTTAGAGTTCGTAGGGGTCAAAAGGGTGACATTGAGTGACGTCACACGTACCGGTGTGACGTAGATGAGTCCCAGGAGGAAGCCGAGGACGGAGACGATGCCGGCCGCCTGCCATTGCTGGATGCGCGGAAAGTCCTCCCGGATGATGGTGATGACGCAGCCGGTAAGGGCGGTGGCCGAGCCCACACCCAGCGTGAACAACATGAGGAAGAACAGGACGGCAAACAGCTGCAAGGAGAGACGATAGGGGTACGGGGTCAGCGGGTCTACTAGGGGATGGCTGATTCCACGATTATTCAGCAGAGTTTCATAACTAAAAACTACCCGAAAGATCGAGCCCAGTGAAAACCAAGAGCTACCATGAACCCTGTAAGCACATTGTTGTTAGTATTTTGATATTCATCTTCCCGTGCGTGACCTAACCTGCCCTGACCTGACGACCCCCATCACTGACCTGCGGCACCCCGGGGAAGTTGGCCAGCGCCTGCGGGTACGAGACAAAGGCCAGCGACGTGCCGCCGCCCTTGATGACCTGGTCCACCGTGGTGTCCAGCTCGTGAGCCAGGTTACCCAGGATGCCGAATATGACGAACCCGGCCAGCAGCGAGGTCAACATGTCGGCCACGCTGATGATGGCTGCGTCTCTGTGGATCAGTCATGGAAATATGAAACAACTTCATAAGGTTTTGGTCACTGATAGTTGTAGGCAAAACTTGCCTTCACCATTATGTCATTTAGTGGAACCAATAAAAACTACATGCATCATCCACCACACGCTCAACTTTGTCATATGTCATTTGAAACTAGCAGTGGCCCTGACACTGTCTGGGCTTATTCATTTAACCATCGAGATGTAGTACGTTTTGAAGACAAAGGACTTCGATATTAAACATTCATGCTATGTGGAGGAGCTCTTTTGGCAGACGGCGCTTTGAAACCAAGTTTTGTCGCCGCTATTTCTGTTCTTAATCTGGGGGATAAAAGTTGAAATGTGGAGAGCTGACACCGGCTGGTTTTCGCGACCCATGTCATAAAGAAGTGGGCACAGTTGCCACGGAGTCGGTCGAGAACTCAAAGCCTGCCAGGAATCCCAGGAATTCATGAGTGAAAGTTATTTATTTCTAGTTCTGGATATATGTAGTTCGGAGAAGCGCTCCGTATGCGATACGTAGGCGTATAGTAGAAACGCTAAAATAAATAATTCATTTACTACAGCTGTGAACAGTTTGACTTTATCCACGGTATAAGCACGGCGGAGGAAGGACGCAGGAACCAGCAGAGACAATGGCAGCACTATTCGGTAACACCCACCTGGCGACGGGGTCTTCGAAGTCGTTGTAGCTGGAGTACATGATCAGCGAACCAAAGCCCACAGACAGCGAGAAAAACGACTGAGTGACGGCGGCGTACCATACCTGAAATGGCACCGGCGAATGTGAGATACCTTCCACAGAGAACTATTGCAGCATTGCATGTATACAGAGGTCTATGATTACGCACATTTTGTGAGAGATATTCTCCTTGTCTAAGAAGCAACAACCCTTTATTTACAGACTTATGGCGCACCTGCGACTAATGGCGCACATATACCTGCAAAGGTCAGTGATGAAAACCGCCAATGCCTCGTATTCATACGTAATTTAAAATGTCATTTACAATAAATTTATTTGTGAGTGGAAGAATGCAAGTACATAATAGGTACGTCGTCAACGGTCACTCTGCCTACATGCATATATTGCAGCACTCTGCTAGATACAAAATTTATGGGGCCAAAGTCCCTGCAAGAAAGGACGCCCGATGAATGAAGATGAGCATTGGTTCACACTCAATCGATGTGGCTTGGCAGATTTGTGACTGAATCATACTGAGTAGGGCTAGACACTGGAGGATCCAGACAGACCGTCAAATTTACAGCCCTAGAATTCACTGTGCTTTTGAAAACTTTAGAGCATTCGGAATGTTCTAGTGGTTGGATGTGATTTTATCGTTCCTCTAACATAATTTAGGTGCGTAATCACACCCCACTATAACTTTATTGATGTCGAATCGCATAGGTACTGGATACAATCTCTTGCAAATATATAATCTTAAGCCCAAATCTATCGTTAGCATCATAGTCCGCCAAAAACTTATTCGCAGAACGCCTGCTCTCTAGCGAATTCTCACCTTTGGGTTGAGTAGTTCGCTCCAGGTAGGTTTCAGGTAGAAGATGATGCCGTCGTAAGCGCCCGGTAGCGTCACTCCTCTGATCAGTAGGGTAAACAGTACCACGTACGGGAAGATGGCTGTGGAAGGGAGGGTAGACGTAGAGATTAGTGTTAGAGGGAGAGAGAGAGAGAGAGAGAGAGAGAGAGAGAGAGAGAGAGGGAGAGAGGGGGAGAGAGAGAGAGAGAGAGAGAGAGAGAGAGAGAGAGAGAGAGAGAGAAGCTGAGAGAGTGAGGGAGAGAAAGACAAGTCGAGGAAGTGAGAACATGACCCAGTAAACCAGCACTTCAAAGGCCTACTAACGTTTGTTTTATCTCGCTCCTACACCAAATCTGGTCCTGTGTAAAGCAGCTGTTCCAGCCGATTGACACCGTTCCGTGACCCCGAAGTGCCGTGTCTGCGTGCCTGTCTCTGAGGTAACACCCTCTCCTGTACGATGGCGCGCCTCGGCCGGCGACGATCGAGCCATCTCCGTGGACGGGCCATCGGAGCTCATCACCGCTGGTCGTCGGCGTCCATCACTGGGACGGTCACGGCCGGCGGCGCCGGTGACCCAGTCTGACCTCAATTAGGGAGACGTCTGACCTCAATTAGTGGGACGTCTGACCTCAGTTAGTGGGACGTCTGAACTCTATCCGACGACGGTGACCTCAGTCTGACCTCAATGACGTATGTATTCTACTAAGGGCTGGTGAGTGATGACATCGGTTAACCTTGACTGATGAGGTGACTGATTTCTACGCAGAGGCAGTGACTTCATCTGACCTCAATTGATAGGATATCTGACCTCTCCGACGATAGAGACCTCGTCTGACTTATGTCCGATGGCATTGACCTCAGTCTGACTAAGCGGCAGGTGGCGAACTCAGTCTAACCTCTAGCCGGCAGTGGTGACCTGCGCCCTGCGGTGCTGATAAACTCTTCTAACCTCTACCTATAGGTGACATCTGACCAGGCGGCGATGCAATGTGGAGGTATTTATGAATGGCCTCAACTTGATTTCGACTTTGAGCTGACTTCTGATTCGCCCCTCAACCGCATTCAATTCGTCTCGTTTGTCGGGAAAGTTTCTCTCAAATACATATTTACGCGCGCGTTCTGTCCCGCTGTGAATGGGCCCCGAATTTGTGAACTTCCGTTCGGAGTTTTCGTTAATTCGCCAATAGCGAGTAAGGTAGCAGCTTCATGTTCCCTTCTAATTAAACACCACTCCTGCGTCCCGTGACACCACTCCCAACTCAGTCATGGAGTACCGATTGCGTAACCCTACTCGCTCACCGGCGGCCTTGACCGCCACACTGACACTGCAGAGCCATAAACGTCTCACTTTCTGCAACTGCGTCTTGCCTGGTCCACCCATCCCGGCTCGCGCCCTCCAACTGCGTCTTGCGTAACCCGTCCATCGCGCCCGGCGTTATAACAACGACGCAACGGCACGTCGGCTGCGACGCACTACCATCGAAAGCGCGCTTCGGACCGGCGGCCGCCCGTCATCGACCGACGAGCCGACGGGAGCGGACGGTCGCCCCCCGCGACCCGACCCGGGGGTGTTACGGATGGGGGGGGGGTGCGGAACTGACCCGTCTCATATGTCGCCGGCCGACCGGGGGTCGTCGGAGAGGCGAGCTCTGACGGATGGCCGCTGACGGGCCGGCTGTGTCGGCATGTTTAGCGCCGTGGCGACTGTGAGGCGTCGCTGACACTTGTTTTGACTGGGTTCAGCGGCACTGCTGACGCGGCACTAATGGAGCGGCAGAGGCCGCCGGGTTTGTTAAACCGGCGAACGCGCGACGAAGCGCTGTTGACACGGCTTAACTGTTGACGCTTAGCTGTGTTGTGACATTGCCTTGCAGTTTGTTGGCTGCTGAGCGAGGATCTGTATTGTGTAATCATATTCTTACCGGTGATAACAACGATCATTTGGCTGATGTGATGCGTGTTCCTAACATTGATCACGGCTGTTATGATTTCACAACTTCCTTTCCACACCCCCACCACAGAAGTTGAACTCCAACTAACCTGTGAAGTAGGCGACTTTGCCGGAGCTCTGGACGCCTTTGACCAGCGTCAGAAACAGGATGACCCAAGACAGCAGTAGACACAGGGTGAGACGCCAGTCGGGCGCGCCGATGCCGTTGTCGATGTTTGGCACCTCCTTCAGAACGTTGAACCTGTGAAGGAGAATAGGGAGGTCGCCTGCTGAGCTCAGACCCCTACTTGTTGAAGGGTATTCGGGTACCACTAACTGGTTGTGTAACAAATCGCTCTTCGCTCGCAGCTCGCAGCTGGTTTTCAGCAACCAGCGGGCAGCAGGCATGTAATAGAGAAGGGCGAATTGACATTTACATATGTAGCTCATTAAACGATATCCCTCAGTAAACGGTTTTCATTTGGCTGATGCAAACTTCTTGTATACCCTACTAAATGCTGTTGCGCACCACTGAAACGGTGACAACAATGACACCGATTTGTCTTTACCGGAACCTATCAACGAGAACTATTCAACTTCAGTGTCGCAGGCCTTGTTTCCTTAACTTCGGCATTCCATTGCGAAATTCCTGACTTAGGCTTACGACGGTGCATTTATCACACACCCTGAAACGGTTCGGAACATTTGACATTCAGGCGGATAGGTCAAGTAGGAAGATGTGTAAGCCTGCTCAACATACGAATAACTATAAATAGACATTGGACTTCGATCAAGTGAAAAGTAGGAACCGCAGTTGTATACGCCAAAGTAGTTTGTATACATTAACGCAGATTTCCAGCAACGGAACCCAGCGCAGCGCTCCGCCCCTGCAGCACTCACTGGAAGTACATTTCGGTGGATCCCATGGTGTGGTTCACTCACTGGAAGTACATTTCGGTGGATCCCATGGTGTCGTTGCTGGTGAGCTGGGACAGGTTGGTGGTGGGGTCGACACAGCGCGTCAGGTCGGCCCAGCTCGGGTCGCACACCATCCACGGCAATACCGACGAGAACGAGGCGAAAAAGTAGAACACGGTGAGCGCCATCAGCGCCACGTAGTAGGAGACGACCGCCGATGTCGCGATCATCTGACCGTACCCCACACCTGCCGCAGAATGGAAAATGTTAGAAAAGGCTGTGACTCATAACTTGTAAGTTGTGTCGGGAGCATCACCCTCGGCGAGCCGACTGTATCTGCATGCTTCGTAGGGCGGTGCGGCATGTTGTAAATCGGAGCTATTTCATTGTGTGTTGTGCGTTACCCAAGCATACAAAAATTGTCGGACAACCAAATTTTGGGCCGAATTCGCTAACCTTGAACCGCACAGTCGAGATACCTATTAGATGAACGAATTCGGATGCATTTCTAAAACCAACACATCAACAATTTTGGGCGTTTGTTTCTGAAAATCAGAATGAGCGGGATAATTATGTAAGTAACTTTTGGCTTTGCATGAGCATCAATTCCGAACCATAACACAAGTGACAAGTCCATCTTCCTACACAACATCTCTCCGCCGAGACAATGCTGCTAACGTCACCACTGTCTCCGTCGGTCTGTCCTCTGGATATGGCTGGCAGCAGTACCGACGGACGCCGGACAAAAACAAGGCGCGGGCGACGCGACGCCGCCGCGGGCGCAAACGAGCCCCCTGCTTGGGTTGCAGATCGATTATCTGTCGCCGCTCGGTCGGACCGGGTGTGTTGATCAAATATGCTGAGGAAAGATCGCTCCGCTGGCGGCGGTCACTGGCGAGATTTTGATCCGAGCTGCGGCGAGCTCTGGTCCGAGCTGCGAGGTTGCCGGTCCTGCCCTGCTGGCTGATTGCGAACGGGCGCTGCTACTTTATGGAGATCTGGTCCTGCTGGTCTGTGCTGCGAGCGAGATCTGGTTCGATTTCGAGCTGCGAGGCTGCCGATCCTGTACTGCTGGTGCCGTGCTACTGGCTGAATGCGCACGGGCGCTGGTTTTGTACTTCGAGCGGCTGCTGGTCCTGCCCTTGCTGGCTAACATGCAAACCAGCGCTGATTTGTGCTGAGCAGCCCAGCGCTGTGATCAGCCGACACGCTCGACCAGCAGCTGAGGCTCGATGGGCGCGTTTGGCCGCTCCCCCTTATGATCCCTGGGGAAACTCTGGCCTGATGTGTCTGGTCCCTGAGGGCGAGGCCGCTGCCTGATCTTGCCCGTCCCTGGGGTGGAGACAGATGAGATGACCGCTTGCGGTGGATGCGTCGCTTCCTTGGTATCTTGAGGCCTGACTGCCGATTGCGCTGGCGGCTTCGGCTATATTGTTTACAATTTTATTACGTCTTATGCCGTATTTTTACGCTTTCTAGACTTTGCATTATACTCTCAGTATTTTCCATTGACAGTACCCTTTCCTTTGCGGTATAGAAGACATGAATGACTTTTGAAACGAATGCGCCCAGACAGTCTTTGATATGCTTTGCTTTAATGCCGGGCACGATGCTTTGCCGGCTTTTTGTATTTTCAACTTTTTTAATACTAGGTATCTTTTCCCCACAGGAGCGTGGCCAAAATAAGGATCTCCCAAAAATAACTTTAAGACATTACCCCAGGTACCGGGTATATAACTGGTCACAAGACTTCGAACCTACAACACAACCTTCATGATACTTCGTCAAATGATATGAACTTCTTACCTCTGTGAGCTTGAGATGAATTGAGTAAGACCTGAGCGAACAGGGCAAGAGCGGCAGGTGCCAACGTAAGTAACATTACCGGGGACCCTCCCGGGTGCTGAGATAGTTAGCAAACAAATCTGAGTTCACTCTCTGTGGTCTTTCGTGAGGTCTCTGAAGGTCAAAACTCAAAATGATTGTTGTCTCCTCAACTGCCTCAGGAAGCCGTAATTAAATGAAGCTTAGAATAGGCTCAACAACATCCGCTGCTCATAAATGATTCATGTCGTCACGACAGGCTAAATAAAGCGTCACACATTTGTATAGTCATTTGAATGAGTGCTGGATATGAATGGTGTAGCGTATGGGATATGACAGACCATGCTATTCTGGCTTGTTTCACGGTGACTATGGTGCGCTTTGCGTGGGAAGCCCTCGCCACTCACTCTATTCTCGTTAACCCCGCCGTCGGCACTTTAGGTCTCAGATAACCAGATCAGTCATCACATATCTGCTCCTAGCGATTCTGAGCGAAAAGGCTGCTGCGTTCCGGAGCTGCAGCCTGCGGCTTCTTTGAGGGCATACGGAGATAATACGCGCGTAACATAAATATTTAGACTAGAACGCTCGGGTATAGCGGCGCTCTGGAGAGCTCTAGAACGTGGGCAGACCAGGGCACGTTGTTATACATTATGTATGTCGTTGGGTTTCCCGCATAAAAAGTTCGCCAAACCATCTCCAGTCATTCGATTATATAAGGGGTTATATCTTTTCTGAGTATCTCTCACGAGTGATGCATTGGTTTTTCATGCTTCGCAATGAACTCTTTATGTTTGGGTGCCCCATTACTGAAATCCGCTCCCTTAACCCCCGCGCTGGGGCGTTGATCCGAACGTAACACATCGAGGCGCGGCGTTTTCACCCTCCCCTTACTCGGATCGTGATCCGATGCCAGGGCGAGGGCTATGTATAGCGACAAACGGAGAAATGCTGCGAGAAGTCTTTGAAAAGATCATTTTAAATAAAGAGCCTGTCATTTCTAGTTAAGTTAAAGGTCGGGTCACCAAAGGTCATCAATAGGTATGGAAGGGAGATATAAAGTGTGTATTGAAAAAGATAAGACTGCCTTTTGCTTTGATCAGCTTCTGGCGGAATCCTTCCCCTAGCCCGCGCGCTGGTGGGGTCTGTTTATAACGCGACCGGTGGGGGGGGGGGGTATTTTTAGCCTCCTCCCCTCGTATCTCGGAAACCACTGGAAGGATTCGTAAAATTCACACGGTGTTCGAAAGCCCTGTCAAATTTGTCGACGGAAATCCAATTTATCGACCTCGGGGTCACCGAGGACGTCACAGGTCAGGTCAAAGATAAAGTGTTTTGCTGGTCACGGGTCTTCTAGGGGAATGCGCTATAACATCGAGCAAAACGGATTTTATCGAAAATCAGCGATAGGGCGTCAGTTGCCTAGTACATATGTTGCTATTAGAGGTCACTGATAGTACCAGGTCAGGTCAAAGGTCAGGTCACTAAGGGTCAGCAGTAGCACATGAACCCAATTTTACCTAGGGCTGTGTAATGCATGTTTTATGGCCAATTTTTCATTTCAAACTCAATGTTGTTGGTTATAAGACCATCAGGAACGGTATAGGTCACTTCCTGGTGGAGGTCAGGTCAAAGTCAGGTCAAAAAGTTCAAATTTCATAGTTGATATTTTTGCATAAAATGGGCATTGATTCGATGCAGCTCGTCACGGCCAGTCTAATGGTGGTCTTTGTTTTGCGCTACGTGGTCTAGAATTGCTAAAATTGAGTTTAAAAATTTGACGTCATTCATTTTGAACAGTTTTTTCGCTATAACCTGGCCGAAAAAAAGGTATCGATCTGAAATTTGGTATGTGACTAGAAGTTAGTAAGGGCTATCACATATATTCCGTTTTTTTTCGAAAAGCGATTTTTTTGGATTTTTTGGGCAATTATATTCAAAAAATTACTTTTTTATTTTTGCGGGTTAAAATTGAAAACAATAAAAAATTCCGAGATAGCAGTTGTGTAGCCCTGGTAATTCTACACCTTATTGTCTTAAAAAATCTCTTCTCTTAAAAAAAAAATCTTCAAGAACTGATATCTCTTCCCACGAAACCTTTTTTGGGTCGAAAACGGTAGAACATGACGTCACTCTGACGTCATTGGCGGCCAATCTATCATAGCCTTTGGAAAAATGTTGGGTCACAATGTGTAAAATTGATGCCCGGGAGGGTACTGTAAGTTTGGTGACGATCGGCGCAGCGGTTCTGGAGACATATCGAAAAATCTGGAGGAGGGGGCAAAAAATAGCCCCCCCCCCCCCCCACCAGAGCGCGGGCTAGACGTCACCCGTCTCTCTTTGACCGATAAACGGTTTGCTGGATCAACGCACGCCACTCTTCTCACCCACTCCTTTGCGTCATAGGTACCCTGCGTCATCCGGGACCGCGCAGCTCCCCACTCCGGCCGATTTTCCAGTGTTTGACGTGTCACCGACAGCTCGCCCCAGTTGCCGTGCCAGAGCAGACACGTTACTCAGTGCTCGGTTTAGTCGTGCCGTCTCAATCTGGCACTGTATGACATGTTCACGGCGCCGCTGCGTGTCGCCCCAATATGTCTCGGATGGCGCAACTGATGGACGTTTATAAACAGACCTGGCCACAGGCACGGCGGTCCGGCGGTTTCAGAACGGGTCTCGTTTGTCAGAACGGGTCTGGATCGTGTTTCAACTCCATCTGGGCCATAGTTTGATCCCCTTTTTTGGTCATTTCTGAACCATCGTCTGTGTTTCATCCTTCCGCAGACGGAATGTTTCTCTCGTATGTTCGAACTCTGTTGGCGGTCGACAGATATGCATATCCAGGGACCGATTCGCGTTGGCGCACTAAGGCCCTAGTGACACTTGATTTCAAGCGTCACTATGCGATTTCGGTTCGCGCTGAGCCACTAGCCGATTGGTGTAAAATACCGCTTAGTGTCACTACATTCAAGTGTCACTTGGCCGCCTAGTCTTACTAGCTTCCTAGTGCGCCATCTCGAATCGGCCCCAGGTTCCAGTTAACTGCAGCAGTGTGTCACGCTCATTAGCGTTTGTACGCTCAACTGCATATCTCCACCGTCGATAAGCAGTGGCCGGCTCTGCCGCTTATCGTCAACTTCCGTCTGTTGATGGCCGCTGTGCCTTCAAAGCGCCGGGTCATCAGTCTGGCTCAGCGTTGATCAGCTCGGTCCGATCGGCCGGCCGGCTGGACGGTCCTCTCCACCGCCGCCGATTGCTCCCAAACGCCGCGGCAGCAACGCGGCGCCGGCTGCGGCGGCATTTTCTGTGATGTGTTGTTCGACGCCCGAGGCTGAGCGCCCTCGGCGATCGACCCGAGCCGCCTGTGGCTGGCCGGGCGGCGCGCTGGGCCACCGGCGCCGCCCACCCCCTCCCCGTATATCCGAGCCGGGCATATTGCCCCGGCCGCAGCTGCGCCGTCCGCCGCCTCCGCAAGCCGCCGCTCCTGCCGCTCCTGATGACGTCACAGCACAGGGGTCGGTCACGTGACACTCGTTTGGCTGTTACGCGCTGCCTGCCGCCCGATGTCTCTGCTGAGATATTTGGGGGCTTGCTTCAAAGAGACAACGGTAGATGGGAGATGTCAAGAGCCAACATTTAGTGGAAGAAATGTCTGGACGCCATCGGGTGAAAAAGCTGGCCCTGTAGAAATGGACGTGTCTGGCTGACAGATTGAGAAAGTTGGGCAGTAGATGTTAAAATATGGCCGTCTGCTCGACGTAGGTCAAATTGTTGAACAGAGTGGGCCCGGCAAATCAATGTTATTAGTGGACCGTTTAACTCTGCGGGAAAGCCTAATTGACAACACCACTAAACAATATTGATTTGCCGATGCAAACGTGGCTCGAAAGATTAACTTTGGGTAAAATGGCGTCGTGAATTTACTCGCTCATGGTGTGCTGTTCTTCTCGTCATGTCTTTTAGTTTCATAATGTCCGGTTTGGTATGATAAGAAGTCATTTGGTATTCGTAATTGGGATATTTATTGATTTTTCCTGAAAGACATCAACAATTTCTACAAACAGCGATACAAATTCGGTGTAGTTGAATGCAAATTATTGTGGATCACACTATAGAGAACAGAGCATGGCATTTAACTACAACATGACATTAACTAGCTCCGTTCTCACTATCAGTTACTTAAAAACCGAAAGGACATCCGAACGACCCAATGTTATGAACAGCTCACCTCTGAAGGCCGGAACCACACTCCAGACTCGAACACTGCCGTGAGACGAGAACTGTCCCATGGCCAACTCCATGTAGTACAACGGTTTACCTGTTCACGACACAGACGTAGGTACTGTCACGGTGCTGGCAGAGGCTCAGCAAACCACTGCGTCACTCCCTGAAGCATATCATCGTCCTACGCATAGGATAAGACATTGCAGTTGTGCTTCCTCACTTTATCTCAAATATCTGCCCTTTGTTACGCTCCTAAAATAACGCCATAAGTACCGTTACCATTTTAAATTCATGTGAGAAATAGCTGGACATATTTCAGGAAGCGCCTCATACCCCGTCCCATTGATTCGCTGAAATCCCAGGAGCGACCACACGTCATCACACTGATGGACCAAAGAGCGACCGATCCATCAGACCACTCACCAATAGATAACAACACTATGATGTAGGGTATCAGGAAGGCGCCGCCGCCGTTCTCGTAGGCGGTGAACGGAAATCTCCACACGTTGCCCAGTCCCACCGACATGGCGATGCAGGACAGCAGGAACTCCACTCGGTTGCCCCATCTTTCACGTTTTTGTCCGTCGTCGCCGGCTTCGCCGCCGCCGCCTCCGGCGCCCCCGCTGGCTCCATTCTCCTGGGGCATAAATGCGATTAATCCGGGCTGGATAGCATGCACGTGGAGCACCTGATGTTCCCAGATCGCTTTGTTATCGATTTTGTTATCGAATGTTCCAGCTGTGCCGGCCGATAAATGAAATTGGAGCATGAAAGGTGGGTGACTAGCATGGAATCTTGCATCACGGTAAAAAGACATACACCTCATTACCTGCATATCCTTGATATATTTTCCCATGTTTATAGATGCAATGGTACATTGTGCAAAATGTGCATGCATCAGAATAATGTTTCGTTTTAGCAAACAGCTCGGTTATTGCAATGTCAAATCTTCCAGTATGCATTGTTAGTTTCCCAGAGACATCACTGCTAGAAAGCTGTAGGTACTCGCAAATGAACATGGGCTATGCAATGTACGTAAGAGCGATTATCATTATAGTTAGTTGAAATAATCAGGAAAATGGACCTTGCAATTACGTAGGTCATTATTAGACATGTATTGGGTCACCGACAGCAGGCCAGTTCTTACCGTGAGAGGGAGGTCAGTGAACCCGTCGGCGACATCCACGGGTGAGCTGTCCTCCTCAGGGATGGCGTCCCTGCCGGTTAGCTGTAACTGCGGGGAACAGAGGCCAGGGACAGAGGTCACGATAGGTCACGGCAAGTCATTGCAGGTCAGCAGTCCGACGGGAGTGTTAGGAATGAGCGTTTGGTAACAGTTATCGCACGCATGTGTGTGGATTGGATGTCAAGGCAAAATCGGAATGTTATGTGCGAATGTAAGCAATCGCATGAAAGTTATAACAAAGATATATGGAGCTGTGGAGAAAATGTAAGATAAATTGGAAAATCGCAGTCTTGAAAAACGCGGTGTATTATTTTCTTGTTATATTATGCAAGTACTAGCAGCCTGGTACTCCATGTGCCCGGTTACATGTTAGCCGTTGCGACATATTCACAGTTTGTGCTTGTCGTGCAATGCGATCGGTTAGTTGTGTTTCGTGGTCATTGGTTGTTAGGCAATCGTGTCAGCGTTCAGATGGCTCAGCATCACGAGCATGCAAACTGTTTACTCGTATGTATGTATAGTGTTATACGGTATAACTTGTATGATTATAAACCTCCCGGGGCTCCTGGAAATTTTATTCACAGCAAACAGTTATTCTTTGCAAATGTTGTCCGCTGCACGCATACATACAAACACAATCCAAACATATTATGCAAAGTCGCCACAAATACACCACACATCCATTATGCTTTTTGATATCCATCCATTGTACGCTGGTCTGTATGGCCCAGTCAGAAAAGACTGCCGATAGACCGCTCGGGGCGGGCCACAGTCAGTCGGTATGATTATATATGGCCCCCTCAGTGGAACATTTGTCACTGACTTCGATTGGTGGGCAGGCTGATGAAGACTTTCAACGATCGATTGATTCGTGACGCGCTCAGCGATGAGGAAGTCAGCGCCTGCAGCCTCCGCGGCGGGCCGGATCGAGGCGAGACTGAGCTCGAAAAACGCGGACAGGTCTGGACCGTGTCACCGAGAGGACGAGAGAGAGAGAGAGAGAGAGAGAGAGAGAGAGAGAGAGAGAGAGAGAGAGAGAGAGAGAGAGAGAGAGAAAGAGAGAAGAAAGAAAAAGAGAAGGAGGAAAGGGAGAGACGATGTGGGACTAATGGATCTCTCACTCGGACTGTTTCTTTGGGTGAGGATTTGTGACAGACAGAAAGCAGGAGGTGCCAGATTCTCCGAAAAGACCGATAAGAAGGGAGGGAAGGTAAGACGAGGCGTGATCGTTCCGGATCCGGATAGCGCCGCTAATTGTCTACAGCAGCATTTCCGCGGCTGTCCGAGCCATCATACGGGACATTGTTAGCGAAGGTCGGGGCGGACAACGTGGGCAACGAGAGAGTGACGAATGGAGGTGACTGAGGAGAGAGAGAGAGAGAGAGAGAGAGAGAGAGAGAGAGAGAGAGAGAGAGAGGGAGAGAGAGAGAGACGAGGAGAAGGAAAGGTGAGAGACGCTGAAAATATTAGGTGAAATGTAGTAGGTATTGGTATGGTACCTAATTGAAAAGTTGCCTAGACTTAACTTAGCGTGTACCCTACGTTGGAAGATCTTCTAAAGATAAGAGAAGATTCATAAAAAGTACTCGTATCCATTGACATCCATTGACAACGGATGGTTCTCACTTCTCAGCGACTTTTTCATTCGCCATCTTCAAACATTTATATCAATATCTTGTAGCATGCAGTGCCAGTGCCCCATTGATGCAAAAGCATAAAAGCAGCATGCTTATTACAATATTGCCTATCATACATCCGGCAATAAATCATTCGCCAATTATACAGTGAAGCTAAAGACCCGGCGGACTGGTCATCCCCGAGCGGCATTCTTGCACTCTGACCTGTGCCGTGTCTATTTCGGACCAGGTTTCTGTGGTCACCTCGGTAACAACCACCTGCTCAACCTCGATATAGCTCTCATCACCCAGATCATCACCCTGTAACGTGAGGTGGATGACGGTTCATTCTGCCACTGGATGTTATTCAAGGGTAGCTCTACGGGTGGCTTTTCTGTTGGTACTAACTACTAAAGCAAGCCTGGCCCCGGCACACGTTTTCACTTTAGATGATCGTTTGCTTCGATTGTTTGTCTACCTAGTACCTACCATCTGCTAAAGTATGGTCTTAGAGAAACACGCAAGCTTTTATAATTAGGATGACAAGACGGGTGTCAACGGTATTTTGGGCCTAGGAGAATATGGGTCAAATGTTCTGATTGCCTCGGCATAACAGCATCTCTAATGGCATATTTCTATAGCAGCCAGAACCTGCGAAGCAATCGTGTAGTTGCATACCATTTTCATAGATGTGTCTGTTAGTCACGGAAGGCGTTTGCCTGCGTGGGTAGTGTGTGCCGCATCACACGCACTCAGCGTGCTCAGGGTCACTTTTCCTGCTCTGATTCTGGTTTCTTTCTGATGGGTTTATAGCTACGAAGTCGCTTTAAAAACACATATGCGAAGTATTTTTTTTTGCATGAATTTTCAGTTTAGAAACCAGGAGGCACCTGAAAAGGTCTTCAATGTATAAATTTGTGTACAGCTATGCGTAATTACGTCAGAGAAACATGAGTTTAGTTGAGTGGCCTGAACTAGTAAGCCAGAAAACTTATTTCTTTTCCATCACAATTATTGCTATTTTATTGCGTTTTCTTGGGAGCCAAAGTGTCGATATAACTCAGAAATGTCTCATTATTCATCCCTCCATGCAGCTCCCATCCCACTCATACACATACAAACATACACAGCCGGCGAGCTTTGGACCTACTAACCCCGTTAAACCACTGATGTTTGTGTATCTTGTGTCCCGCGTGCGGCACACAGCGCGCATATTATTCGGGGAACAAAAAGCGTGTTGTGTCTGTGCCATGTCCCAGGGCTAGTTCGGATGCCTGGTGTAGATCTGCTGCCAGGGCAGCTTCTGGTAGTGTCAGCAAAGCCTGCCCGTCCTCTATAGTAGCATGCAATTGCATCTTATCTGTACGTATAGATTATATGAAACATTGCATAAGATAACTTGCCTATTTTGAGGCGAGGTCCGAACACACACGTCACACTTCACCCAAAAAATAAAGATTAAGTGTTTTTGCGACACAATTTCGTTTTTCTAGTCTGCAATGCAATTATGCTTCAAACTCGAAGCAAAAATAATTGAAAAATAAATATTGCTATGCAATGACTCAGAAGATAATTATTAAGTTCCCCGTTCAGCTTATAGCATTGACCACTACTTTTCGGCGAAATCTGTGGTATTTTGGTCAGTTGTGCAGTATCGTGAGCGTCGGTAATCGATTAAGGTCACGACACGCTAAGATCCATCGCTTTTGGTACTTTCCTGTGTTGATTACTTAACCCGCGAGTTGCTGGGGGGGGGGCGTTAAACGCCCCCACTTTTTTCGCCGAGCCATAGCATAAAAACGGCGCGCCGCAGGCGCGCCAAATTTTGGGTACCTGTAGGGAATTGATTGAAGTTTATTGTGACAAAGTTTCAAAAAAATCGGTCGGAAAACTTTTGAGATATCGAGGTTTTAGTGACGTCATGATTTCTGAGTTTTCCACCAGAAACGGCATATGTTCAAAAAATCATATAAAATCACAAAATAGACACACAGACATGCCGTAAACGCCATTAGACTGCCAATACCGTAAAAAATATAATGGCTATCTTCGATTATTGATTATCGTTCCGCATTTTCCAAAATCTTGAACTGAATCTTGGCAATTTGTCGTGACTACTTCACGACCATGATACATGCAGTTCTTAAATTGAACTTTTTTAGCCAAACACGTACACATATGATAAAATGAATATCACCATAGTGTTCTACGCCCTAAATTACCCCTAAAACATGTGTCACAGGCTGCGAATATCAGTTTCGATTTTCGGGGATATGTGCCTACCCGGTTGACCTGACCTTGACCCTGACCTTTGCTTGACTGACCCCTACATGGAGCACACTCTTGTAGGCCTTATATGATGGATTGTGCACCGTTTTGACAGAGTTTATGACGAGAGGCGCCCATTGCGAAGTCCTGAAGTCATACTGAAAGCCCGATTTCAGGTGTTTGACCTGACCTTGACCCGACCTGTGACCTCAAAATTCAACTTTAAAGCATTCATCTGAAGCGTCTCGTCGCGTTCTTTCGTTTGCCGTCTCGTGCGTTTCGCTGCGCTTATTGGTTCTCGAGTTATCGGCTGGGGGCGTTTAACGCCCCCCCCCCCCCAGCAAACGGTGGGTGGCGAAATACCCCAGCAAGTGCCGGGTTAAAACAGCTTATAACCTCGCCGGGTCTAATGGCATTTTGCACAGTCGTAGTCGAAGGAAAGGGTCAGCGAGTTCCACCGCCCGAATCCGAAAACCACAGACCATTCGTAACAAGAAGAAGGCATCAACAGCTTTCAGTACGTCGTGCAGATTTATAAGACGGGCACATAATTACAACCATTCTTTGATTCTTCTTAAATCGGGCTGGTTCCAAATTGAAAAAATGTCAAACTTGTTGTTTTATTTAACCTAAAATCAACGTAACATTTCTTAAAACCTGTCTTGCTGCACTCTCTCTCTCCCTCTCTCTCTCTCTCTCTCTCTCTCTCTCTCTCTCTCTCTCTCTCTCTCTCTCTCTCTCTCTCTCTCTCTCTCTCTCTCTCTCTCTCTCTCTCCCCTCTCTCTCTCTCTCTCTCTCTCTCTCTCTCTCTCTCTCTCTCTCTCTCTCTTGCTTCCCTCTTCCTTCATTCTCTCATCTCTCCTTCTCATCCTATAACTAATCTTTTTTCCCATTTACTTTGAGCCAGTTAGTTGGTGCGATACCAGGCATTGTAGGTTGAATAGATACAATAATCAAATGTCGCGTCGGTTAACAAAAATGTTTTATCTTTTAATCAGCTTTTTGAGTTGTTACTTATGTTCACGGGCCGGATAAACGTATCAGCATTTTGCTTTTGCAGGTAATTGGAAGTAACAACTTTTTAGTGCCTGTCTATCATCTGATAGATGACATTGTCGAAAGAAATGATCTCGTTACAGCCCCGCGTTTAAACATATGGGGCTGTAATATATAATTTAAATATAAAAATAGAAATAAACGTCAGCGTAAGTTGACGAGTTCAAAAAAGTTGAGCAGTGCCGTTTTCTGTGGTCAGTGGGGCGGACGGGTGACCGGTGTGTTAAATATATGTAGTCGGGAGGAGCGTCTCCAACTCGTACCATCGGTCTGAGGTTGACCGTAAATCTGCTGAACGGCGTGGCGACACTGAACTCTGACTACATGGCCACCGGACGGCACTGTTTGGCTGACGGCGGCAGAGGTCAGCAGGTCCAAATGCCGAAACTGCCACCACAGCCATTTGTGGCATTAGCTTAATTGGATTGCAAGGCGCAACAGAGGCGAGAGATCGTAATTGTAACAAATGGTGATGATAATGACGTCGTAAAGATAGCTTTTAACAGTTACACTCTGTATTTCAATCAGGGATGCGGAGCCGTGGAAATTTCAGACGGCTCCGGCTCCGGCTCCGGCTCCGGAGAAAAAAATCGGCTCCGGCTCCGGCTCCGGCTCCGGGTGAAATGTTATGGCGGCTCCGGCTCCGGCTCCGGCTCCGAGTAAAATGGTCCGGCTCCGGCGGCTCCGGCTCCGGCGGCTCCGGCTCCGACTCAGTACATCCCCTACGCAATCAATTAAATACGGGTGGAAGAAAAATTGGATTGGTTATACGCGTTACTCTTTGCCATGACCGGCTCACCGCGTCCCCGCGCAAACGCACCTCGGAGAGAACTGGCAGAACAAAGGGCTAGGAAGCGATGGCATTGGAAACGCAGTCGCCGCGAATCGGAGTTCAGTGAACCATCGTAAGCTGACACCCGTCTCGGCTGCATTGGGGGGTGAGGGGTGGGGGGTGTGTGGGATGAGACGGTGCTGGGTAGAGGTGGCAAAATGTGGACCCGAGGACCCGGTCCAAAGAACCAGTCTGGACCCATATGGGTCCAGACCGGTTCCTGGAAATTTTATGACGGGTCCAACCGGGTCCTACCATAAACTATACTACATCTTGCACAATGCACACTACACATTATTGCAAAATATGAAGTGAATTAAGTGAATGTTTCTTTGCACACAGTAGCTCACGAATATTCCCAGTGGGAAATAGGCTGTTTTATATGATCCAACTGATGATACCTACAAGTAGTTTGCATGGGGAACGGGTCCAACTGGTTCCGATTCCAACTAAGACCGGGTCCGACTGGTTCCAGAAATGTCCAGTCGGGTCTGGTTCGAGTCTGGTTCCCAAAATTTTCATCTTTTGCCACCTCTAGTGCTGGGAGTCGCAGTCCACTGCACTGGTTTGAAAACAATGGCCGTCACCTGATGACTGGTCCTCATGTTCTGGGGATGCAGTAGACGTGGGGGGGGGGGGAGAGCAAACAGGAAGTTGTTTGCGTACTGTGGGATACTGGGGATATTCGGATTTTTTCATTCATTTGATGGCCCATGACGTAAGTACCATATGTTTTGCCTTGTACTGTCAAACCGAACTAGGTCAATTATTTTTTTTCCTCTTCAAAAAATAAAAAGGAGCCGGAGTCGCCCCCTTTTTTGGCGGCTCCGGCTCCGGCTCCGGCTCCGGGCTATATTGTTTCACGGCTCCGGCTCCGGCTCCGGCTCCGGGCAAAATATGCCGGCTCCGGCGGCTCCGGCTCCGACTCCGGCTCCGGCTCCGCATCCCTGATTTCAATGTAACGATTTGCCAAAGAATATCTCCATGAAATGCTTGATCTGTAGCCAGTTGGACACAAGAGTTAGGATGTGACAGTTCATTTCATCTGTCGTTTGAGGCCAGATTTTGCAGGCTGGGCTAGGTCAAGGTCAAGGAAGATCAGATTTTGAAGTTGAACATAGGTAAGTCAAAGAAGAAGTGTCCAGGAGCTAGAAAATATACTCAGAAATCCATGATGTCATTTGCTTTATATATCTACGTTTAAAGCAAACAGAAAAGTGATGTTCGAAATGGGGTACAATATTAGGTAGGAGAAAATTGATTTTGAGGTCATACTTTGAGAACTCTTGAGAAAACTTGGCAGTTAGCACACCAGTTGAAGATTTGAGGTTTTGTATAGTTTATCCTTTATTGTGAGAAAAATGGGGATTTGTGCGTTTTTTGTCTTTAAAAAAGTTTTTATTTAGGACCATTTTCTTTAAAATCCCAGAATTTAATTTGGGAAGCATGGTATTTGATGTCTTCAGTAGCGTTTACTTGTATATTCATTACAAAATACCTACGTCTATGATGGAATCGATTTTTTTTTTTGCCACATTAGACCAAAACATAAAAAGTGATATCGAAAAATTAATTATAATTCTCTAAATGTTCTATGACATTTTACAAACTGTGTAAAATGTATGTGGGAGAAGCTGCGGAAAGTTTAAAGACGATCGCAAGATTAGTTCTTACTTCTTGACTTTTTGCAAAAAAAAAAATCGGCTGGAGAGGCGTCAGATGCCCCCCCCCCCCCCTCCAGGTCGATTAATCGGATAAGGAAGTCCGCTCTTAATACAGCAAGAACTTGAGGCAAATTATATCTACCGGCTCGATTGATTGCATTAAGATACATATTAAAAAAAAAAACGACGCATGTGTCGAACATGCGTCAAACCCATAAACACTAGCGCTCCTGTTCAGCACGTAGTCTCGTATACATAGTAAAACCTCACTCAAGCTCAAACAATAACGCAACTTCGTCATCCAGCCTTTGCAATGACATCTTTATGTGGTCTACTCACTGTTTATTTTTGTGGCACGGCAGGTAAGCAAACGTACGATGTTCAATTAGTTTCAGTCTTTTTTAATTGGATTCAGTTATCTTAATTCTTAGTTTGAGGCTTTTTTCAATCGATCGCCACGTACATAGTCAATGGAAGGGATTTAAAGTTCCCTTTATTTTTATCGCATTCGTCCAAGTCTGACTCAGTCAGGTCACTGGTCAAGGCCAAATTTGAAGTCATTTTTTATCACTTAGGTCACGATTTTCCGCTCGAAACGTCTCGTTGAAGGGGATGCAAATTGCAAAGGCAATAAAATTGTTCTTACGAGTTACGATACACCTGAAAATTTATCGCAGAAAACAATATATGCTAAGTGGGTCAATTTTACAATGCTTTTTTACAACGAGGCATTAGGTAGATTATTCTGTCGCACCTTATAAGCTGTTTAAGCGCACGAGCTACGGCGCTGCTCTTCGGATATTGTCAGCTTCAGTCGGGAACAAAACGTGTATTAAATTTCAATGACAAGTAACCTGCACAGGTGACATCATTTAATACCCTCAATGAAATATGCGCGAAGTGCAAACTACTTTCGATGGACCTTCGCTGGGGCTCATCATTATCCATTATGCTGTCTGGTATTCATATGCTAAACATCTGGGTTATTTATCATAAAGTTTACACAATTCGCGTTGTTGCTTTTCTTTGATCATTTGACATTTTGCATACTTTTTGAAAACGTCAAGGAACAAAAGCGACTCTAATTTAAATCATCGTGGATTGCAACAACTGCTTGTCCTGCAACCTGTTGGCATGCCTTCACATCTATCTCAATCCATCTTCTGGTGACACCTACCTCTTCCGCGCCCATGGCCGGATCGGCCCCCATCGACTACCGTCTGTACCGCGCCGCGTATCACCACTCCACTACGACGGCCCACGCCCGCACTGTCACAGGTCACTGTTTGCAGCACCGGGGCAGCGCTTCCGACCGTGCCCGGGTGAACACTGCCGCCCACCGCCGGCCCTCGGGCGCCGTAACCCCCCCCCCCCCCGACCCCCCTCGGCCCCCTCCCGCGTCGGTAGCGATGACAGTCGGTAGGCGCGTCAGTGGGGCGACGGTGATTTCTGGACGATGCCCGGTGGTTGAACGGGCACTGTCTTTGTGATGAAAAATCCGCTCAATAGCGTTACCGTGGGGTGTCGTTGTTTTATTTGGCCCTCTTTTGTGTCTTTTTCCGTTAGCTTTTCTACCCCTTTCAATGAAAGCACTTTTGAATGTATTTTGTTAGTTTTATGGTTTCCGGTGTTATGTTCTTATTTATTTCAGACAAAAAGCCCAAACCTCAGTTATCGTAACAGTTATAAATAAAGCATTCAATTGAGTGTTTTATCATACCATAGGTAGATGCTCCATGGAGTTATTTATTATGGTTCAATATGGACCTTTCCACCACTGTCCAAGAAGAGCGAGCATTATCACGATTCTATCGCGAAAACTTCAGCTGATCCTTAATTCAACTGTTAACATCGGAAGGCTACTTAATTTTCCCTCCACCGCAGCTATGCCAGCCTCATTGTCTTTTCAGATAAGAGAGTATCCGCGGCCTCCGTCTCCTGCTGGCCTTCCCATTAATTTTCCCATTTTTCTGATAAGGAGGACCATCCCTGCGCTGTCAAGTCCCCATTCTCGTATTTTCGCATAGCCGAATGACAATGGATGTTAAGTAGGGATATATTTGACTTCTGTATCTCAAAAGATTTCAGAAGAAAGGCAAAGCGGATCGAAGGTCCTCGACAATATCAAGAATATGTTTCAAGCGTATAAAAAGCAAGACTGAATCCCAATAGGCTTCCTAACATATCTTTTTTCCAAAGTTCGGTCACAAACAGCGGGCTGAAGTGCTCCCTTGCTCAATGGAACCATCTGGGCACCATTCTTTGTCAACTTCAACTTGAGCCGGAAGTCACCAAACCCGACCTTATCTCTCGAACCCAGGGGAGAAGCTGAAAGTGAGGACTCGGGGATGGTCGGCGTCCATTTATTTTGCCGTGGATGCGCGAAAGACAGCTGTTTTAGCAGTGTGTGAATGCATAGTAGGTTCTGTTTGTGTGCTTTATCAAAATGGCTCACAGTTCATTGAATGTCATCCATTTGCAAATGATTATATTTTGAAGTCAGTTTCAAGCATGTGTGCTATCGACTGATATTTGGCTAGCATGAAGTTCTATTCGAATGCGACCTCCATTGCAGGATGGCAATGCTCGAAACACGCCAGAAAACGTTTTCATTGTGATCTTTTAAATGTAGTATAAATAATTATGAAAATGAAAATAATATAAAACGCATTGTATGAAACAAACATCCTGTTTTTTCGTCAGCCGTCTCGCGGACCATCGAGAGGAGAGTCGTTCTGATTACCAGCATAGTGCGTCGCTCGGCGCCCCTCGGCCTGGCGCCAGAGCAAACACATCACGGGAACTCCGCGCTCTGACCCGCGCAGGCTGCAGCCGACAGCGCCGACACCGGCGAAACGCGGTCAGCACCAGGGCAACATGAAACGGATGCTCGGCATACTACTCTCTCGAGAATGAACAGGGTTTTCAGGAGCCGGGAGACATTAGTCATTTGTACCGGGTACTCACTTGTCAGTTCCGGAATTTCAGGACATCAACAGGACCAGCTGTTCATTGGTTGTACAAGAGTTGTGAGTATGCGGAATGGGCTTATAAATAACTTGCCGAGGTTTCCTGGGGAAATTCCACTCACATGCGGAGCTCAAGCGTCCGGAGTCCGAATGATGCATTGGGCTTGGGTACGCATTTATTTTTGAGCTACCTCTCCGCGCGCGTCATGTGTGGCTTCGTCAGACGGCAGACCTTACATAATTTAAATGAACGGCCTGATCAGATGCCAAGACAGCTGTCCCTCTTTTATATCTTGTGCCACTAATCTTCCTTGCGTTTCTAGCCAAACGTAACTTCAGACTCATAACGATATAAGCTTACCGTGACGTGACGAGGCGGGGTCTCATCCACCTGTTTTTTTTTTTCGTGAAAAGGCCGCCGTTTTCAGCACGCATTATGATAGCGATACATTTTACCCTCATGTCTCGAGTGCGGATAAAATGTAGGTATGCATGTATGTGACAAAATATATGCGTACAACGACTTAAGCCCCAGGCTTCCTATGGTCAGGTCACCAGGTCGGAGTAAGCGACCTCGCCTCTAGAAAAGCGAATGGTCGTCCTAAAATAGCTACTCCAATGTGCCTAATGCTCTTAAAGTTTTAGAGAATGTTTAGGGTGTACCCGGTGTAGACGGACTATGTCAAACATACGTCTCGGATTTTCAGTCATTGTGATCAATGTTTAGTTTAGCATTTCGACAGTTTTATTATAATTCAATGACCGCTGGAACGTCATAGGTAGTAAACACTAAAAAAAGTCTTATAGTGGTCTGAATTGAATACTGAGAAAATGGCAACACGATGAATTTCACTTTGCTTTTGATGTCATGCTCATGCCAGACAATGAAAAGGTCCAGCAGGTTCCGAACTGACTGTTGACAGATACATGCATGAAAACACCTTGGATTTGTTCACCCTAGCGATACGAGTTGACTACTCAGACTAGTGTGTAGCCGTTCCTCTCCTCTCAGGTCATGACATTGACCAAAGGATAAAGGTCTCAAGTTGACCTTTTCATGTTATTCGACTCGTCTCGACGAAAGGAACAATATGATGGTAAAATCAGTGTTATTTGGCTTTATATAGCGACCTATGGTAGGAGCAAAATTTTCCTTTGGACGCAAGATGTAACGAGGTCAAAGGTGTCAAATTGATGTAACTGAGGGTACTGAAAGTTTCGTGTCATACGTTCAGCGGGTTTGAAGATATTTCAGAAAAACGGGAAGGGCTCTAAAGCTCCCCACCCCTCCAGTCATGTGTGAGTTAATGATTATGACTTTTCAAACTCCGCTGTATCATCCTATTGCTACTCAATCCAGGCGCCACTACGGTGGGTCTAATCTCTCCAGTCCCTGGGTTCGTCTCAATGTGACACGATCGTCGATCAGACCACGGCTCTTGCGCGGGGTTGATTGGCAATACCTGCCGGTTAGAGACGAGAATAGCCCGTTACGTTTAGTGCGTTTGCGATTTTGTGACGTGCTCTCTCATCGCCCTTAGTGGAGTCCGTGCAGGCAGCCAGCCCATAGTTATTAAACGTAACAAACCTTGAAAGTTGAGCTTGATTCGGCTGTGCGTAGGTATTTGTGTAAAGTATCCCACACTTCCGTCTTTTCATTCTCAGGACGATCCATCCTCATTTTTCATCCTTGATCGCACTTCCCCGTCCAGGGCTGATGGTCATCTCACCCATGAGACAACCGGTGAGGGTAGCTCCAATTGGACGCGTTCACATGCCTCCGGCGCAATGAGTCTTCCTCAGTAGCCGTTGATTAGTAGCGCCCCGGACGATTACCGTACTAATCAGTACAAAATGTTATACTGGCTAAAACGTATTCGCGCGGCGTTTGCTCTTAGTAAACGCATTATACAATGATCATTGATTATTGAATGGTTTCTCTTATTTCCATAGATATCCCTAAACTTTCTTGTCTCTGTTTCTAACGTCATCTACATCTAGGTCGTCGATCTAGCTCCATTCCGTGCGAACAATGCACTACACAGAAACACGAAATGGGCCCGGAAATTGTCAGTCTGCGGCGGCGCCCGGATGGACACGGGCGACGGAGCACGGCGGTCGCCGTCATGACACTTAGGGAGGGGGAGGGGCGCCATTCCCGGGGGAGCGACCACCGACAGATGATGATGAGATTCGGTGCGCGATGTCGTGCTCCTCAGACGTTAGCCGTCACCCCCCCCCCCCCGCCCGTCGGCTGCATGGCTCATCAGCTGCGACCGTCGTTCCTGCAGCCGATGGCCCGGCCCGTCTGTAATCAAACGTCTATTGTCCAGTCGAAAAGTTGGCCTCGCCGAGTGAGGCGGCTGCTGAGTGGCCCGTGCTGCAGTGGATTGGATCGAGCGGTGGAGAGACGGGGTAGATGAGCTGATGTGGATCGAATCGAGGCCTGATGGTTCAGTTTCGTTTCATAGAAATACGAGTTCGTCTTCAATCTTCAAATTTATGACTGAGCCGTAACAAATAGGACTGAGTCTGCCACTTGCAAATATGTGCAGGTTTTGAGCCTTTTTAATAAGGCAAAGTAGCTTATCCTCCACCATATGTTTTATACCTCTGATCGACGTCTCCCTCCCAAGAACATCATTAGTCCCGACCTATCATCGCCTGAGCGGTCTCAATATCAAACTCCTGCCACGTAGGGGAGAGTGGGGTAATTTGGCCGCTTTTTTTAGAAAACGATGTAACTTAAAACTGACGACACATTTCTGCATTTTCTCAACGCTGGCAGGTGTCGCATTCATTTTACTTTACTGGACAGTGAACTTGAAATGATAGAGTAATTACTTATATTGAAATTATGACGTATTACAAAGGTCTGCAAGGCGGCCAAATTGCCCCACTAGCAGGGTTATTTGGCCGGGGGTGTGGGGCAATTTGGCCGGTGTTAGTTTGCGGTCGGGATTTTGTGTTATATTGCCAGTCAGCTTCAGATTCAGCAATGACGTGTGTCCTAGGACGCATTTACCACATTTTGGAGGTTGACTCATGGGGTCACAGGGGTCAAAATAGCCAAATTAGCGGCTCTAGATGCGAAGACAGTTTTTTTTATGAATAACTTTTGAAGTAATCAAGCTAGGCCAAAACTTCGAGTACCATCGTAATTCTCGCGTCATTCCGCATCGAAACATATAAGTGTTGACCTCGAGAAGTCAAGGCCAAAGGTTGACCTCAGGTCACGTTACCTCAGGTCGCTTGACCTCAAGGTCACGTGATTTCAAGGTCATCATGCATATCATTCGATGCGCCTTGGCGAGCTGAACAGAATGAGACCATTTGTGCGGCTGTACCATTTTTATGTAAGGATTTATTAGCAAAAAACGTTTGGT